ATTGACAAACAATTTAAGTACATGAATAAACTACCGTCAGCCACACACTACAAAGTCACATATCATTCGCTTGGCAAAGAAAATTAATAAGATAGTAGTTTTGTACCTTTGCTAGAGCATTGAAAAGAGTGGCACTCACACCAGGGGTGCTCGCCATTTTCTGGCCCACTGCTGCCAAAATGCTACAATTTGGAATGACTGCAACCTGAACAGAAAGAAAATCATTTGGAGTTCTAGTACGTTAAAGTTGACAGAAAATGGTTCACGCCTATCTGTTTCCATACGCACTGATAATTGCAAAAGATTCAAGTGATGTATGTGCAGCTTATGTGCAAACACAAACAAGATGAATTATACTGAAGCTGAAACCAGATAATGTCAGTTTTTCCATCCTAATATCTGAAGGATCCTATAGATACAGTTAAATTTCAGGACACACCTGGGAAAGGCGCCCAGCATCCAGAGCTTGACGAAATCTGGATCTCAGAGCATCTGCAACAGCTTTGACTTCCTTCTCGGGCACCGCAAAGCAAACAGAATGCTCACTGCTAGCCTAAATCATATTCAAACTTTCATCATTATTCCAGTTAACCAACAAAACCATCAAAATTAACACCATTCCAGTATTTTCTTTGAATGCTTTTTACCTGTGATATCATAATAACATTAGCTCCCACATCTTTCACTGCAGCAAAGATATCACTAGCTGTACCAGGGATACCAGCCATTCCAGTTCTGCGAAAATAAAAATATGGCCAACAGTAAGAAACATAAGAAAATGAAGAGATGATATATCCCAAGAGGACATCATGAAAAGCATAAATAGCAAGGAGAGATGGCTAACCCTTCAACATTAACAAGGGCCACGTTGTCTATTGTTGCAAACCCTCTAACAGGGGCATCTGCTATTTGACCAGCACGTTCCTCATCAACTGAAGGTCTACATATCATGGTCCCTGGTGCAGATAGGTTGAAGACATTCCTTATGACAATTGGAATGTCATATCGCATCACTGGAATTATAGTTCGAGGATGCAAAACATTCGCCCCAAAATATGACTGCACGACAATCACAGGAATCTTGTCTTAGAATAAACTTGAATAAACCAACAAGAGTATCAATATGGGAACCACACTCACCATTTCCCAAGCTTCTTGATAGGACAAGGTCTTCAGTATCACAGCCTCACTAACTGCAATGGAAATAGGCGCACACACTATATCAGTATGCCCTACATCAAAGTTCTTCTGTACTTCTAGAGTGAAAGTTTTTCTTCAACTATTTAATGGCTCGCGATCGCACAAACCTTTCCTAGGATCTGCACTATAGACACCATCAACATCGGTCCAGATTGTCACTTGTCTAGCCCTCAACATTGCACCCATAATAGCTGCAGAGAAGTCACTACCATCTCTCTTCAAAGTTGTAGGAATATTTTCAGGTGTGCTTGCTATGAAACCAGTCGCAACAACTGCCTTGCATGGATTTTGAGCGAACCATTCTTCAAGTCTTTTTTCAGATTCAACGAAATCAGGATCAACTTGATTAGCACTAGTAGGGTTGACAATAAGGACATCTCTTGTATCCATCCATTGGCAATCAATACCATTCTGCACAAAGAGAGCATCTTAATTGAAATTTAACGTAGCTTATTCACTTACTAAACAAATAAGATCAATTCTCTACCTTCTTCACAACATACGATAACATCTGAGCAGACCACAACTCTCCATGTCCGGCGACGAAATCGGAAAAAGATTCCGTTACATGACCAGCTGCAATAAATGGAAAAAATAGTTCACAGTGAGAATGTATGGATGTCACAGCACAGCGTTTCTTCCATAGTGATTGTAATGGACAAGAAAACCGATGACTTGTTAACCAATGCATTTCCAGAATCACAGGGAACCACCCTTGCTTACCAACTTAAAATTAAAGCACTCTACTTTCCAATAACTACACAGCGAGAAAATAAAGAGAGCACAACATCCATTCACCTATATAAATAGCGCGAAGCATGGCCTTGAGGTTGTTGATATCATGATGCAACCTTGACAAAAAGGTAGCAAGATCATCTCCATCGAGAAGATCCATAGCAGTCAACTTGTGCTTCTCGAACACAGCATCAGCAGCAGCTACGTACGAGTCATCCCGAGATTGTGCCTTGTTGATGAGATCATACATCATATCAGTCACCTTCGACATTGCTGACACAACCACGAACTTCCCTTCGGAGCTATCATTAGCAATTATATCCGCCACATTCTTTATCCTCTGAGAAGTTCCCACGCATGTGCCCCCAAACTTATGGACTGACCACAACTCACCCTTCGGCAGTAGAACCTTTTCCTTGGATTCATCCAGCAAAACAGCTACAAGCAGAGAGAGAGAGAGAGAGAGAGAGAGAGAATTAAACACCCAAATCCATCAATGAACAGTTAACTAGATGGTTACAGGAAAGAGCACCTTTAGCAGCAGAAGAAGAAGCATGGATTCTGTATGACTCCTTTCTTCCACATCCTATTCTGTAACAAGTCATTGTAACAAAAAAAGAAGCTCTTCATCAAAACCAGCTAGTTTGATCAATCGAAACGGATATCCTAAGAAAATCTGATCACCAAATTTGAAAAACAAACAAGAGTATAAGACAGGGAAGGAAAGCGACAAATCAAAATTTTCGCATAAACCAGACAGGAAACGCAGGAGAAAGAAATGGGGGAAACACTCGTGCGACAACGTAGCAAAATTGAGCCTGGATTTTCTTTCCATTTCCCAAAATCCGAGCTCCAATTCGTGCACTTTCGCAGCTCTTTCCCGGAAAAGGAAAGGGGGGAAAAACTCAAGCAAATAGGAAATATAGAGCATTCCTTTCCCTCATTTCCTCGAGAAACAAACAGAAAAGAGCAGCGGGAAATGGGAGAACCTAAACACGGTGGCAGGGGAGCGAGGAAGGAGAGACAAACGAGAAGAGGAAGAGATCTTCTTCTTCTTCTCCTGCTTATAGCAGCTACTCAGCGATTCGTGAGGCAATGCGGCGGCGCGAGAGAGTAGACGGGAGGAGGCGGCGGCGCCGGAGATAGAAGCCGAGAACGCCATCGCCGACGGACTGAGGGAATGACGACCAAGGAACGACAATAGACCAGAGGGAGAGAGAGAGAGAGAGTACCAAAAAACCTCCCTCTCTCTTTGGTTTATAGCGCACTAATGGAGGTTTTCGTTTCCCTTTCGTTAACGTTTGGCCCTTTGGGGGCTGTGGGGAGTTTTTTTGGAGGGGTTTTTTCTTTTGGCGGCTTTCGTTCTCGTTTTGTCTGTGTGGGACGAACGATTCCTTTTCACTGCCGAAGTGTGACTCGGGAAATCGAAACTCGTCCGAGTTTTATAGAAATCGCATGCGGGGTGTGCAGAATCTGCTGCTGCAGCCTGAAATTTGGTATGGGGCCCGAGCCAATTGTAACACGACACCTGGATGTGTAAGTTGGTTGGTGGGGTAAGTAAGATAACGTTAAGTTACATTTTGGGTCCTTGAAATATATTATTTGACATTTTAGTCCCAAAATTATGATTACATCTAAGTAGAAGTTTATTGTGTCCGGTGGTGTAGGGAGACATTGAGGAGAGGGGGTCAGAGGAACTCACTTAGGCAAAATATACAACAATAAAACCCATTAGATATATATAGACTTTTATATGGTTCTTCAAATTTAGGGCCCTATTTTTTTTGTCAATGCTAGCTTATCTGAGTACCTCACTCAACTCTAAGTTTGGTAACGGCGCCACTGGTTTGGTCCTTTTATAATTCAATTGTAACTAGCACTAACCCTCTAAATAGCATGTACAGATTGATACAACTCGTTCGAGTTCGATGTTTTCCTTATTAAACTTGTAAAGGAGTGTGCTTAATTAACTTGACGATGGGTATGATAATACACATAGACCAATTATGTTAACTTATTTGTCTATATGCTAATTATGCCATAATGTGTATACCTAATCATGCCTTCCTACGTCTCCTTAACCTACAATTAATAAACTAAGATAAAAAAAAAATCCGAATCAAATCTACCTCTTGCTTTATTTTATAGTTCATAACCATCCATCGTTTCAAATGACGATCTTACCGCATGTAATTTTTGTTTGAAAGAATCTTATCACATGTAATTGAATCGGCTAATCTTGTTTGTAGCATTTGTCTCTATTTTCCTTTTCCTTTTCCCCTCACTTTCCCCCAAACAAACACCACCATGCATGGATACATCAATCAAAATGACGATTATATTGATAAACATTTATTATTCTATGTTCTTTGTGGTGGTCAACTTTTTGATGCTAGGGCTCGTTGGGAGACAATGATAGTATTATATCATATGACATTCGGTTCATCACGGGGTATTGGTCTAGTTTTACATTTGTTTTTATTGTTCAATAGTTTCAACGTTGATGAGAGGTTCACCAAGAACCAAGGTCTTCAAAGAAATGAAATGCGGTCATTTTATATCTTATGAGTTAGCTAGAGTCATTTTATATCATATGAGTTATGCAAAGTGATTCTCAGCTTGGGTTCATAAAGGTTCTAGCTAGGACGACAATTTGTAACATGAAAATAGAAAACAGGAAACGAAAATGGAAGTGAACAGGGCCTTAGAGTTTCATTAATTTTTCATGGAAACTTGTGATAAGAGAAAGCAATGATTTTATTATGTAAGTGAAGAATAAGAGAAAGCAATGAGTAAAGCCTTGATGGTGGGAAAATTGAGACTTATATCAAGGTGAAAGCTTATTGGATCCTTTTATAGCTCAACTCTAGCACAACACTACCATCTTGAATGGATCAAGACTACGGAGATTGATCTATCAACGCTTACGAAGTAAGAGTCACTTAGAGGTCGATATGACTCGTTCGAGATTCACCTTATTAGATGTACCAATAAACTAAGTGTGTGTAATTAACTAAGAGTCAGTTAGTAGGCCAATTATGTTGACAAATGGTATAGACCAAGGATGTTTTATAAAATTTCCAATATGCATTAGGGCATGGATTTACATATAGGTCTTTTAGTATAAATCCCAAGAGAGCCCACAAGTTACAATCTCTCTCAGCTACCTACTGCTCTCGTCGTCCATATGATTTCAAAATGCCCACTTGCACGTGAATCACACGATTCCAACTCCCACCTAAAAAACAGATGCACTCACAATAATTAACCTCATCATCTACCTCTTACGCTGTGTGCTGTTCGGGACCTCCTAGTCCAGCTTGTGAGAGAGGCGGATCGAGAGTGTGAGATGTGGTAAGGGGAATTCACTAATCCCAAGTTCTATAATAAATTATGGTATAATATAATTAATTAACTTGGTTTCCTAACCTTCTCATCTTTTTCTGAAAATGGTGACTCGGAATGTGAGGACTGCAGCGCCGGGACTGCTATTCACCAGCTCAAACGCACAGACATCTCCGACTCCGAGCCGATTAGCTCCGGCGAAGTCCTTCCACCCGATCCCGAACGACGCCGTCGAGATCCTAGACGACGTCCCTGGATCGGTGTTCACTATGACCTTCACCTTCCACCTCCTGCCGCCGTCATACTCCCTGCTGAGGATTGCATCACCGTCCCTGGCCTTCATATGTTCCCTGGCGAAGCTCATTGGTATTGACTGCAAATGCAATTCAAAAAAATAACCATTGATCTAAGTTCGATTTGGCCAAATATTGATCCGAGTATGATCCAACCACACTCGGATCATACACGTAATATTTCAATAGATCATACACGAAAACCTAATACCATGCCTGCATATTACGAATTGCGATTGATACATAATTAACCATCATCAAATAGCTAACTTGGTGAAGCAAATTCATCAAGAGAAAGGAAGCTAAAAGGGTGATTGAGTAGATCAAGTTTACCACAGTGGAGCCAGGGTGGATGTAGGAAGGGTGGACAACAACCATGAAGTGAGGCATTTCTGAGGTGAAAACTTCCCTTGCTCTACCAATGGCTTCTGTCTTCTCATTCAAACTCAATCCTCTGAACCTCTTCACACCATTGTTCATTGTTCCTCCTCTGTTTCGATCGACTTCGAGTTTCGCTGTATCGTGACATAACGACCCAAAAATATCCATCAGCCAATTCGGATAGCAGAGTAACGTTCGAGATGACATTGAATCATCGAACAATTGGAAACGTACTCGAGTAAATCTGTTACCTGGAGCTGATGTACAAAACTTCATCTTCTTCGATTGGTCCCCTGCATCCAAAGTTTCCAAACACATAATCGCCTCTGCCGTCCTCCTCCCAGTCCCAACCTTCACATCACTCGAACAATTACTCACCAAATCTCCATCTCTGCCCCCTCTCGATTCCCCCGGCAGAGACGGAAACGCATCCAATATCTCAACAGACGAATCATCATCATCAACATCAGTTTCCGATTCATTAGAATCACTCGTCAGCGTTGCCTCGTGAACAGGGGATGGCTTGGGGACCGCCTTCTTCCAAGACAGAGCCGCCAGAGGAGAAGAAGGGTACTCGATCTCGGTCGCCGTGGGATCGAAAACGACGACGTTGAAACGACTGGTCCAGCGATCGACGAGCTCGAACACCACCAAGTAGCCGTGGGACAGCGAGTAGAACTCGGCGAACTCGCGAAACCCTTTCTGAAGCCAAACTTCGCCGTCCGATTCCGTCAGCTCCACCGTCCATTCCGTTCCTGATGGGTCCCTCAGGACCGCCGAATCCTCAAGGTTCCCGCCGTACAGCTTCACGAACTTCGTCGGAATGAACTGAAAACAAAACAAAGCAACGAAAAGTAGTTCAGAATCGGGGGGAAAATCCTGAAGGTTTCCCTATTGGCCCCTGTTTTTTGTTAAACCCTTACTAAATTAGGTTTTCGTTACGAAATTGGGGTTAATTAGGGGAAGGAAATTGGGGGGGGGCAAACGAGGGAAACTTGCAAGCTTGCCGTCACGAATGGCGTCGTCCAGAATGATCTTGAAGAAGTGAGGTCCGCCGCCGCCGCCGTCGATTCCGGCGGTTGTCTTGCCAAGGGAAGCCATTGCTTCGACAACGGAAATTCCTGAAGGAGATTTTTTTTTTTTTTTTTTGGCTAGTCTTCAGAATTTGACTGTGAGAGGAGTTTGGTCGCGTAAACTAACGGTTAAGTAACGGCTGCAAGAGGCGGTCCAACGGAGGAGGATTTAACGGGAGGGATTGAAGAAGGATTTGGGGTGAGAAGATCGTGGGACTTGAGAGCATGAATGCATGCATGATCAGAGAAGGAGAAGGATAAGTCGATGTCGATTGTCGGCTTGATGATTTATGTCCAGCCCATATTTTCCCGGTTAAAAATCCGGCCCGACATACAAGGGCTGGGCCTTGGTCGAGGGGCTGGACTGCCAATTGGGCCCTAGGGCCGTTAATGAACCAAACCGCTCATGAACGGCTCGGTGTGCGACTCGAGAAAAACTCGTTCGACACTCGATTCGTTTTAATCGAGCCGGCTCGCGAACAAGCTCGTTAACTAAACGAGCCGAACTCGAGCCATACCATGTTCAGCTCGAAAGCTCGCGAACAAGCTCATTTAATGGTTTGACATAAAAAAGGATTAGAATTCATGGATTTTATGTATTGAAATTGGGATAAATATTGTGTTTTACTTTGCTAGACTTTGTTATAGGTTAGAATGTAATTTTGTGCGCAGTTCTAGGTCAATCTTGAGCTACCATGAACATTTTATGAGCTGAACTCAAATTTGGGCTCGTTAAGCTTATTTGACGAGCCGAGCTCGAGTCGAGCTCGAGCTTTCATTTTCATAAACGAGCCGAGCTCGAGCTTGCATATTAAAGCTCGTGACGAACACGAGCCGAGCTCAAGCCTGGAAATATATTAACGAGCCGAGCCCAAACTATGGCAAAACTCGGCTCGACTCGTCTCATTAACAGCCCTAGGCCTAGCTCGAGTGATCTCACACTTTCAAACTAGATAGTACAATAATGGCCTAGCGGGTGTTTTAGACTTTCCATTCAAGTTGGTGTACCGTCAAAGTGGAAGTCGGTTTTGACTTTTGACTTGAAGCTCTCCATTAAGGGAGAGGATAACGATACTTCGTACGTACCATCTTTCTGTCACCCTCATTTTTTACCGCAGGAACCACATGCGACGAGAAAGGAGATGTAAACTTTAACACTCTAAGCGGGGAGGTAATAATTTGGCCAATGGAATGACCAATTTGGCTCATACGGCCAATGGACAGAGAGTTTTGTACGCTTATATTCCTTCATTACGTATTCCCGTATTAGAAATGGATATGATAGGAGTCTACATTTGTATAGGAGTGGAATAGTGTGCAACGATTAAGTTCGGGCTCTAGCGAACTACGATTCAATAGTAAAAGACATTATAGAAACAAATTAATATTGAATTCGATCCGATTTGGTTCATTTTTCTTCCATATTTATCTGGTTGTAGAACTCATTGGAGCATAGAATCACGATATATTTGATTCAATGTACTCTCATCCAATGTAGTCAAAAGCTCGTTTTTACGCTTCTATGTCACCAAAACGCTTCTACGCATAATCACATTTTTTATACCTTCGATGGCTAAAACCTGCACTTTAAATCTTGAAAACTTACGATTTTACGCTTCTAAATCAGCAAAACACTTCTACGTAACAATGCGTTTTTCCACTAGATTGCTATCATCCAACTATAGGTTTGTCGCCGTGTTCTCCTGGACGGACGAAAGCCGTGTACACCCCTATAATTAGCACGATGCATGGATCGTAAATGCTGAAAGAGTCGTATCAGCAAACAGGACACGGTAAGGCGCCACTTGATTAGTTTCACGGAGCCGCCATTGATAGATTATCTTAGCCGACAGCAGTTTCCCTCTAATCCATCATTTCTCGTAATTAATTTGGTCGACTTTTCCTTCGACCAACTTGGATCTGCTGTGTGCTATAAATTTCCTACATCTGTTTCCTCAACCCATGTCACCAACTTCTTCTTCTTCTACTTCTACTTTTTCTTCTTCCATTTCTTTGATTCCGCGATCTATCGCAGTCGGAGGCCATGGAGCTCGAGCATCGACCCACTTTAGCTGCGCTCATGGGCAACTCCAACAAGCGTTCAGCAGCCGCACCACCTGCAACTCGCTTCAGTGAAACAAGCAGCGGCAGCGACGATGACGGCGGCTCTGCTTCATCTTCCACGGACCTCTATGCGGGTTCTGAATCTTTTCGGAACCTGGATTTGGGTGTCCTGAAAGGCAGCTCCTTCGCGACCCCACTGGCCTGGGTTCGCTCTCAGATCATCGGCAATGACGCGGAGTTCGACTCTCCATTCGGCAACCGCAGGGTTACCTACGCCGACCATACTGCCTCCGGCAGGTCCCTCCACTACATCGAGGATTTCATAATCAAGAATGTTCTTCCTTACTACGGTACTCACAAAGAGCGATACAAGCTCACATTTCTTTATCTGGGTTCTTTCTAATTCTTCCGAACCAGAAATGGAAATTGGTTGTAATGGGTTTGGTTTTCTCGCCGGGTTTACAGGTAACACTCACACATCGGACAGCTACGTAGGCGGGAGGACGACGAAAATGGTGGAAGAAGCCGCCGCGTACATCAAGAGATGCTTGGGCGGAGGAGCGGAGGATGTGATCCTGTTCTGCGGTTCTGGAACCACGGCGGCTATCAAGCGGTTGCAGGAAGTGATGGGAATCGCTGTTCCGTCGACATTGCGGGAAAGGTGTTTGGAAAATGGTCTGAATGGGAATGAGAACAGATGGGTCGTTTTCGTTGGACCTTATGAGCATCACTCCAATCTACTCTCCTGGCGGCAGAGCTTAGCTGAGGTGGTCGAAATCGGCCTGGATGAGAATGGGTTAATCGACATCAAGGCGCTCCAGAGAGAATTGCAATCGGGTAAATTTGCAAACAGGCCGATTCTGGGTTCCTTTTCAGCTTGTAGTAACGTGACCGGGATTCATTCTGATACTCGAGAGATTGCCAAGCTTCTTCACCTGCATGGAGGTTTTGCCTGCTTTGATTATGCAGCAAGGTAGTTTCAAGTTCATGAATCTCAATTAACATCCTTCCTGATTTTTTCATCGCCTATCTAGCTTTCATAATTGCTAACTTAACCTTGTTTTGGCGTGAGTTGATTCAGTGGCCCTTACGTGGAGATCGACATGAGATCCGGTACGATTGATGGCTATGATGCTGTATTCCTGAGCCCACATAAGTTTCTGGGTGGCCCTGGAACTCCTGGGATACTCTTGATGAACAAGATTCTGTATCAGCTGGGTTCAGCTCCTCCTTCAACCTGTGGTGGTGGAACTGTTGATTATGTTAATGGATTCGAAGAGAAGGTAAAGGCTTTTGCTTTTCTCAAATACCTTGTGGAAATAATGTTAAATTTCTGGACTTGGGACAGGTACCGGTCTAGTCAAGCTGATTTTGTTGCTGTTACCATCATTTTTACAGGACACTGTGTATTCAAAGGAAATTGAGTCTCGAGAGAACGGTGGAACTCCTCCAATCATTCAGATAATTCGAGCTTCATTGACATTCTGGATTAAGGAATACATCAGTTATTCAGTCATTCAAAACCACGAAGACTATTTCATTGAAAAAGCACTAAAGAGGCTGATCCCAAACAAGAACATTCTGGTGTTGGGGAACACAACAGCCAGGAGACAAGCCATTTTGTCCTTCCTCATATTCTCCACAACCGTGCAGGAAGGAAGCCTTAATATGTGGGCAGAGGTGGGAAACAAGCTAGGTCAGCCTCTGCATGGACCTTTCGTGGCTGTTCTTCTCAACGACCTATTCGGGATTCAGGCTCGTGGTGGTTGTGCCTGTGCTGGACCTTATGGCCACCAGCTGCTCAATGTGGATGAAGCTACATCCTTAGCAATCAGATCAGCTATACAAAAGGTAAGAGATTAATGTAGTTAAAACAACTATCTTGGTACACCTAAGGGTTTGAGTTGAGTGATTTAATGGGTAAGAAAACTGATCAATGCAGGGCTACTCTGGGATCAAGCCTGGATGGGCAAGAATCAGCTTCCCTTACTACATGTCCAATCAAGAATTTGAGTTCATTCTAGCGGCTTTGGAGTTCATAGCCATATATGGTCAGAGGTTTCTTAGCTTGTATCGATTCAATTTCAAGAAGGGTACATGGACCTTCAATAAAAGGGCATTGAAGGAGCTGGTGAGGAAGGCAAGCAATGGAAATGGTGATGCATTGTCGACTTTACTTACAAATGTGCCTGGACTGAGGATTGATGAAGATGAAGCCGAAGGATTGGAAAGTGGAGATCACGAACACCCCGTCATGGTCAACAAGTTCGCTTCATATCTGATCATTGCTAGAAACATAGCCAATCTACTCCCCAAGTTCCCTACCAAACAAGAAATTCCTCATGATTTAGATCCTAGCATCGTGCATTTCCGGGTGTAGAACCACTTATTGATTATAGCTTATGGTTCAATCGTTTATTTCTTTTGTAAAACCACTTATTGACTCCGAAATGAAGTTTCATAAATAAAATGTTTGTGAACTATCGTGTGTCTTTTTTGTTCCTTAGCCTATTATCCTCATGACTAGCAAAATGAATATCCAGAGCAATTCAGAGTTGACATCACCTGCCCATTCTACTTCATCATCATTATTCACCATATATACTTGCCACTATTTACATAAACAAATGCAGCCCCTCTATATAGTCCATGCTAGTTGATGATTCACCAAACAACCTAACTGTAAGCAGAAATCAATACCAAAAAGAAAAGTCTTTACATATTTTTGAGCAAAACTCAAAAGAACTCAATCCTTAACAGGGTCAGTCTTTCCCTTCTGGCAAAGCTCCTGTTCTCGTATCACTTGCAGCACCCGATTCCGATGCATGCTCGTTGCTCTCTTCTTCGTTATACCTATCGACGCTTTTCATGAACACCCCTGCATGCAGTGCAGTCAAATTATAGCTTATACAGTATGTCTACTCGAGTCACTAGATCATAAGGTTTTTACAGAGCCAAATACATCGTCATAAATTGGTCCTAGATGCTAACATTATTCAGAATGACACATTTAAAAAAAATACAATCATGATCAGAATCAGGTGGAAATGTAAGGAAGCAATGATTCTACTTCGATTCTACGTATTTTACTGATTCCATCAGTAAAGGCCATAAGACTTAATAGCTTATAGTTTTTATGGAGAATCAGACTAAATTCAAGCAAGCAAACTCGGAGGCCAAATTCATCTCACCCACCTATGAACCAAAATGCAGCTGCCAGGAACAAGAAGGAAGTCAAGATAAGACTAGTCTTCCTCCAGCTGTGTATCTGATCTTGGAGGAGACCGACGAGGGGCGAGGAAGGCACGTCTCCAAATAAGTGAATTGCAACGGTGGAAATGGCCATCGACAATGGTCTTAGACTCGGTTTTACGCAGTGAAGGCAGACGTAGTTCACTGGAGCCTGCACTTAGCATAGCAAGAGAGGTTTCATTTCCTGCAATGGTGGCTTTCATCATATGATGAGCTAGGAGAAAGATGAGTGCTTTTTACCTGAGTTGCAAACACAAGGACTTCACCAATTCCAAAGAAGACAAGGAAACCATACATGTTCTTGAAGCAGAAAGCGCTGAAGCAAAAGATGGCTCCGGCTAGTACTGCACCTGTAAGAAGCTGTGCCACAAAAAGTTCAAAGAAAAAAGTTTGTGAGGGAAGGTTGTATATAATCGCGGTGCATTCCTTGCAGAGCAAAGGAAGGTTGGGAATCCATTTGATGCATTGTGGTCTTTCAATTTGAAGGCATCTCTCCAGACATGCCATGTCATTGATATAAAGTTAAAGGCTAGAGAAAGAATCCTAGCCAGGATTTAATTGGTTGCTGATGCTCTTTGACACAATGCAGTGAAGATGTAGCATATAAAGTTTCAATTAACAGCTATTAAGCACAGCAATGCATCATAGAGCAACCACATCACATTAGCAGATTTTATATCAAGAGAGAAATACAGTTGGTAAATCTGGAAGAAAGAAAAAAGAAAACAAAAAACGGAAGAAGGAAGAAGGAAAATTATGATTCCAGGATGCACCTTGAAGGCATTACGGATAGTGCTGGTTAGGTAATCTAGAAGAAAACCTCCAGCAAGAGTTCCTAGTATCCCACAGATAATTGTAACCCCGCCAAAGATCATATCTGCATTTTCCTGTCAAAAGAAGAATCTAGTTGGGACTTCTATTCTACGCAACACAATTACATCTTTAGCATAGCTATTACTTATATAGCCAGTACCTCACCATCTTATAGATGTTGCGACCAGCTTTGGGACCCCAGTAAGAGTATGCACCAATGACGAAATTGTAGGCTGTGTAGCCTGTGCAAAATACAAAGGCCAGATTCAGTTCACATGCAAACATGTATCCAAGAAAGGTGAAAAGGTAGAGTAGAAGGGTGAAACTGATACCTAGAACGCTGACAATAAAAGTCTTCTCACGCAGAAGATCTTTCATATCTTTGAGGAATCTTGACCGTTGATTCATCTTAGGTGACTCAGGTTCTGAACTGCAATGAACATTGCCTCCATTGTTATACTCATTGCCTGAGGCATGCTATTATGCAGAGGGGAGGTTAGAGAGAGAGATGTATCTTGATGAAGAGACCAGAAATGGCAACGATCTGACAAACACATCATTGTAAGCGACATCTATATTACATGTATCAGCTAAAGAAGGGAACTGATCTTACATGGAAGAATTCTTTGGGGTTTCCTGACCGAATCGTTCTTTTAAAGTGAAACTGCCAGCTTTGACAGCCGAAACTTCCAAACCTACAACCATTAGCCCAGATGAAAGATCAATTCAACAACTTACCAAAATTTTCTGTAGAAAATCTCAGTTGGAAAATAGTTGATAAGCACAAATATGACACTGATTCTCATAACTTCAGCACCTTGAGCATCTGATACAGTTGTCACTGAATTCGATGCTTTCGTTCGGTCAGCGTGAGTAAAACCTGCATCAAGGAATCCATAAAAACAGATGAACAAGTAGAAATTGTAATGAACAAAAAGCAAAGATAAGGATCCGTGTAAAAAACTTTCCACCTTTCAATTGCAAAGGCTTCATAATCCAACCCAAAATAATAAATGGAAACATCAAAATCGCCACTCCGAAGAATGCATAGCGCCATTTCAAATGATCACCAACCTATTAAAGCAAAAGCAGAAATGATCACAAGTTGCAAGATAAGATACAGTCAAATTTGTTGTACATCTGCCAAAATCTAAATAATCCTAAAAGGAGATAACCAAGAATAAAAGAGACATACCAGTCCTCCATATACATAGCCAATAGCATATCCAGTTGATATACACATATAGAATATCCCCAGCCACGCAGTTCTCTAGATTGCAGAAAGAATGAAACGTGTGTCACTACCTTTAATATTAGAGTTCAGTGCGCAAAAGAGAAAATGTGGATTTCCAGCAGACAGTGCATCGAAAAAGGATCAAAGAAATGACGCAATAAAAATCTGATGCACAAACACATGAATTTGCATGGCCATGCATGTGAACAGCAAGTCCAAACATTCCGCCTCGTGTCATTCAAAATTATTATATATACCGGATGAGTTTAAGGCACTAATTCACTATCATAAAGGACAGAAGCAAAACCTGTTTGGCAGGGGCATTATCATCAATGAAAGGGGCGGCAAGGCTTACAAAAGAAGCTTCACCAATTCCAACGACCCTAGAAAGGACATTCACAACCAGAACTAGTCAAGAGATGATAAATCATCATTAACATAATAGATAGAAAGCTAATTTGCTCATCCTTTAATCAAGTTCGAAAAGCTATTAGTAACCTACATGCGGCAGATTGCAATGAACCAGAAACTGAAAGACAACCCACAACCAATGACTGCAAGCATCCAGACTGATAATCCAAATCCTATGAGCCTGAAGGGGTTATAGCTGTAGAAATCCACAAGTATGAGATCAGCATCAGGCTGAAGTCACAGAACTGCTGTCAAATTAGTTTGACGATTTAATCAGCTACCTCTTCGACAGAGAGGCAAATATCGGACAGCCAATAAGAAGGCCGACTACGAAAGCAGAAGATAGTACTCCATCTTCAAAATTGCTCAAGTTGAACTCCCCTCTGCAAACATCGAACAACGAAGCAAGATCAAGACTCTTTAAACTTCCAGATGCAATTTGGCATATGTACAGGTTTAAATAATACTACACAGTTCAACAAGCAACATCAAAAGTATACTCATTTTGTGTTTCTTGAACACTGCTGTAACCACAATTTGCAATCGAGAAAGTAAACTTTGCACGTCAAAGATTACACCCTCAAGATGAAGAGATTACATAGAGCCTTACTGTATTCCAGTGCCAGCAGTGCACGTACCATTTGCCGTGCAAGTCTTGGGGCTCCCATTTACCCCATTACTTGCCATCGCTCCTCTCTCCATATAATTTATCAAGTTGACCAAACAAAAGATTACCAGCAACCTGGCCAAAACCGCAGGATTAACAATTATAGTTATGCATCAAAATCCTGAATTCTAAAGAGCAAGAACTCATAGATGTTTGTCATCAAGATTTCCAAATCCTCTCCAAGTCCATCTTAAATCAATTGGCTTTGTTCAAAGCAATCTTTGTTCCTCTCCTTTATCATCCTCTAGTTAAATGCCGAGATTATCATTTTCTTTTCCGGTTTTCCGTCACTGGCTCTTTCTGCTAATAGTTAAGGCATTGTAACAAAATAGTTCAGCTCAAGCCACATCCTTTTCTGCTGAAATATAAAAGAACCATTCACGGGAAAGTCTCAATCCAATCATTTTAACCAAACCCCCCAGAAACAGAACGAGAGAACACCAAAATAAACAGAGAGTAAAGCAACCACCTTTTTGGAGTGAACCACGAAGGTTGAGAAACTGATGATGATGATGACGACGAAGCAGGTTCCGACGGTTGAGAAATTGAACTTCCCACCACCTCTGCTTTTTCTTCCGCCATTACTGCTATAAGGCCACCAGTAAGATCCCCGGCTCTTCACAACAGCTGCTGACTAACCAAAATTGTCAATGTTTGTCAGCTTTTAATCTCTTCATAATGGGATACAGAAAGAGAAAGCAACAAATTGGACACCGAAACTTCGTTTTCTTCCCTGCTTACTTCCTTTTCTTCCCTCCTTTCTTAGGGACAATCTGAATGAGGTAAAACGTTTACTTTTTATGTGGGTTATTGTTTTTACGCGGTCGGAAAACCGCAATTGGGCGAGAAAGTAAGCGCAATGGAGAGGAAGGAAGTCGGAAGAAAGCGCGCGAGAGAAAGAGAGAGGTCGGCGGCTGAAGTACTTACTGTTTCCCGGCGTGAAGGACAAAAAGCAGTTCCCGGCAACGGTGGAACGAGGAGATTGGATGGGGATGGCAGAATGACGGTACTTGCAGGCAACGGGGAGCTTAACTTTTCCTTTACTGGCAGAGGGAGAGATCTTTGAGAAGAAGAGTGAAAATGTAAGACGGAAAACAGAATCTGAGTACAGGTAGAGTTTGGTTGGGAAACGGGCCTCTAGATTATGATTTACGATAAGGTCCAAATCATTTGATCCCTTTTTTGTTTTTTCACTGCCCTTTTGTGTTCACCCGGGACCCGATCAGCTCGGTTAACATTATAGTGAGTAACAATGAGTAACCCATTCATCCGACTTTGAATTTCTTTGCACAGATAAATCAGATTAATTATGTTCTTTCAATTGATATCCACTTTTATATATTTTGAGAACAAAAAAATTGAGTCATTTTTTACCAATCAATACCATATGATATGCTCCTATTTAATACCATATGGTAAGAAACCGTACCATGATGTATGAACATACAAATACTGTAGGAAGGTTGAATACATGGTAGTAGAAGTATACTAATTATCATTTACGACTTTCATCATTGTTTACCACAAGTTACCACCCACATACCAGAGTGGTAAAGTATGAGAATTTTTTATTCTGTATTTTTATTCACCCATAAATTTGTAGATCCAATAGATCATGATAAACTAGTTTCTTTTGAGCAAACGTTTTTAAAAAAGACTTAAAAACGAAGAAGTTATCATATGGTATGTTGTTGATAACGGGAGGTATGAAAAAAAGTTTCTCGAAATATATTGAAAATTGATCTCATTTTGTAGAGCACAACAAACTCGTTCCATCTGTGCAAAAAAATTTGAAATCCGAGTTAGAACGAAGAAGATAAGAGCCGATTAAGAAAACTAGGACAAATAAAATGCATATAATTCACAACCCTTAGATCTGGATTTTCTGGACCACTTAGATCTAAAGGTCCAGATTTAGTTACTCATAGGTCAGTAACCAATAGTTAATAGTTACTGACCGTATTTCAAGTAGGGATGACAATGGGGCGGGTTTGGGACGAGTTTGCCTAAAGCATCCCCATCCCCGCTTTCAAATATCTATACTCATACCCGCCCCATACCCATGCGGGAGAAGGTTTTTCAAACCCATCCTCATACCCATGGGTTTCGTATATCCATGGGTAATACTCGCCCTGTACATCCAGCATTATAATACCGAATTTTTTACATGTAAATTTTCATTTATAACATTAAACGCACCTACTATATCATGAAGTCGACAAAGAGACAATCATTTTTAATACGATTCAAAGCATCTTATCCTAAAGCATCCATTAATCCATATCAGAGTAGAATACAATGTCATCCAAATCATTATTCTCTACTCTGATACATCTACTAAGTAATAATTAACTAACATAATCCTCTTAACAAGGGGAAAAAGTGAAAGAGTGAAAGAAAAATTGAGAGAAAAAAAGTTAGATTTTGATTTGGTGGCCACTCAATTGCATTTCTACTATATATTTTTCTTGAGTTATACTCACTATTATTGATAGGTTACAAATTGATTCACATATTTTTCATATATGAAGAAATATTTTTGGTGTGACGGGTATGAGTATGGGTATGAGGTGGGGGAGACTAAAACCATACCCCATATCCATTAAACTTTTTGCGGATTTTACCCACACCCGCCCATTCCCAATCAATGTGAGGATTCCCCACATTAACTGGATGGGGGCGATCGAATACCCATAAACATGAATTTGATTGCCATCCCTAATCCCAAGCCCCCTCCTACATTTCTCAAAGTCCTAAGATTTTTTTTTTTCCTTAGATGCGTATAAGCTATAGTGTCGTCCTAATAATTTCTACCAACTTTTATCTGTCGTTTCATAATTAGACAAAATCAACAATCACTTATTAGGTCAAATGAACTTTTACTTTTTATGAGCCTACAATATTAATTCTACTTTTATTTTTCATTAACTAATTGAGGTGGTTGAATAACATAGTCTATTTACTAATCTTGATTCAAAGGTTTTGTGCAATTTATTATTATATATCACTCCAGATTCGTATAGTTTTTTATCAAGTTCAAAATGCCCGATAACTCTACACATATTAGGGTTCATACTAGAAGTGACTCTTGTAGGTTATCAAAATATTTGAACCTATATACGATCTTTGTTCTTTTATTAACCAGCGTTTAATTTTTGCATAAAAAAATCAATTGTTAATTAGATCGTTCCAACCTTATATCGAATTTTTTATCATTACATTTTCGTAAGAAAGTTACTTTAAACTTTTAAAAGATGCAACTAAATGTTTATGTGTAGTAAAAAAAAATTATTTTCACATTCAATTTCACATCCACTTCACAACTTGTGATAGTAAAGTCATATGAAAGTCTTTGTCAATTGGAAATAGATTGTTGAATTAATTTAGGAAACAGACTTAAAAGCAATCACATTTTGAAGATTTTCATCATGTTGAATAATTGATAAGTCAAAAGTTGACTTTCCTGTCCCACTGAACATCATAACAATAAAGATTATTAAATGGGATAAAAATTGAATCCAAAATGGTATAATATATTTCGTAATCATTTTATTTTGTTCTTATTTAACATAAGAAATTGGTCCAAGTTTATTTTTATAACAAGAAATTGGTCCAATTTGAAAGCAAACAATATTTGAATTCGATAATAAAATCAAACCTGAACAATCCATCATTTTGATTTTGGGCATATAGTCAAGTATCAATTCATTCCAAATCATGAGTAAACAACCATTCATCTCGATTCCCAACCCTTTGGAACTGAGCTGGACTACCACAGGACATCAGTTTTTTAAGTTTTAACAGACAGATAAACGCATTTGCAATGGTCCAATCTCAAATCCAGTAAAATGGTTTGCAGACTCGCTATACCTTTACTTGGTGAGCTTTGGGGAGAGGTAAAACTTGGGATCCCTGAAGAACCTTGTGATGGTCTCAGCCTTGTCAGGGGAAAGGTCAGTTTTCTCCAAGATGTTTTCCTTGGTCGCCTTAGCAACGGCTTCAATCGAACCTATACCTTGATTCAGCTGCCAAATCCATCGCCCAAAAGTTTCACATAGATCAGCACCAGATTGTGCACTTTGCAAACAACCTTAAGACCCAAGAAAGTTTCCTACAGTACTTCAGGCATTGCAGAAATCTGCCATGGATTCTCATGCAAAGTTGCAGAGATATATATGTCATTAGAAACAACAAAATGATTATGTTAAAGAAACCAGTAAGATTGATGGATGATCGCATTACCATATTCGCGTCGTGGCTGTCGATGCCTGGTATTGAAGTGATCACTTTAACGTAATTCTCCAACATTTGCACCGATCCCAGCCTCTTCTCACATGCAACAGGATATCAGAAGAATGAAAGGTTGGAAGAAGCACCAAAAGGTGGAGGTAACAAGTGATCATGAACAATGATATCAACACACAAACCTCAGCCTTCATTGTTGAGGTAACATCCTGCTGCTTGCATGCTGCAAAACTCGGAGATCAGATCAAACAAGTCACTACTCATACTGCTAAAGTCTATCACATTACTTGGCAAGGACGGATATAATAAGAAGATTAAGCATCAAGCATCACATAATAATAGATATCATTACTTACCCCCACGAGAATGTGCTATCTTGACCATCTTCTCAAACCCCATCTCCAAGTCTTGAACTGGCACAAATGGTGGCCGGCCAATCTGCATCCCGCATCTTCTTCCCACAGCATCATACCAAAACAACTTTGTAACCACCAGATACGACACAAAAACCAGTAGAAGGATTCTCAACAAGAGGGGTTTTGAAAGAAGAATCTCACTTGAAGTAAGACCGTACAAAAGAATCATTCTTCTCCTTCGTGGGTAAGCAGACAACAACATACAGGTTTGCGAAACGAGTCTTCAGATTCTGAACTCTGTGCCAAATCACAACAAACATACAATCACACAGGCAAGGAACTGGATATAGGATTCCATTTCAGACCTCTCAAACAGCTCCAAGACTATTTGCGACAAACCGATTCCTAACAGCATAATAATAGACAAGTTTTCGCTATGTTTAAGGTGGCATATAAGAGAACGAGGAAATGATCTAATGACGAACTTCTCCCGTTAACTCGAACTATGGCGACGAATCAACAGTCATCCTTGTTCAATACTTAAGGTTTCAACTGCCAGCCTAAAATTACGACTGCATTTAAATCAAGAAAGTTCTTCTACCTGTTGAAGACTAGCTCGGTGTTGCTGCAATCCCAGTTAGTAACGAAGATGAATGCCAATGAAAGACCTCCACAGTTGAAAATGAAATCCTGAAGCACAGAGAGATTCAGCAGCCATTCAAATCTGAAAATTTCACCATTGGAAGCCAAAGGGGAAAGGAAACGGTTCGAATTATAGTAGAGCTAAGAAGTAAGAACTAGGGTTAGGGAAAAGTACTGGAGCAATCGGGACGAAGTTGAGACGGAAGGAATTTGCGTTAAGGAACGACGACACGAAATCGATGTACGACGGAGTTTGCTCGTCTCTCCATTTGCTGCTCATCATACACACTCCAGCTGTTCGTCCCCCTCCACCTCCACCTGTTAAAATACACGAAATCGAACTCTAGATCACACAGAAAGATGTAACGCAGTGCCATTAATTTTGTATTTCTGAAACATAGCTACGCGTTCGATCGCAATCGATTTTCTCCCTCGTTCGCGATTTTCTCAGCGACCAAACGGAAATGCTCATCCGAACATCTAGAAGAAAGCAATAGTGAGTTGGATAGGGAAGGAACCTGAACTCATCGAATTTGAGCTTAGAGTAGCCATTCCAGAGTGCTCTCTCGCGAGCGAAGAAGACGACGAATCTCCCGAGGCAGAGAGACGATACAATACAAGAGAACTGAGCTATGGCTTCACAGTTCACTGAGAAATGCTATTTGTTGGCGGGAAGAAGGAATGGGGAAGGTCGGTGGAAGGTAATGGGCCGAGCCCAGGTAGCAATCTGTAAGGGAAGATTCCGCTGAAAGAAATGGGCCTTAAAAAGCCCATCCGGCAAGTACAGAATCAGTTTCACTCTCCGGTGTCGATCAATCGTTTACCCATTCCCCGGCAACGGGAGCGCTCTGCAACTGTCAGCAAAGACCGACGCCGCACGCCGCCGCCCAAATTCTCTGCTGGTAGGGTGCCGTGCAACTTTTCATCTCTTCCATCTCCTCGCCAAGGAAGGAAGGAAGTAAGAGTGAAAAAGAATTTGTCTGCTATTTACCGTCGCCGCTTAGCTCCTCACGGCGGCTTTTGCAGACACTCGATCACTAATCATCGTCACTTACTTTTTTCCAGCCTCTGGGTAATGCTCTTCACCTTACGAACTCCAACTGTTACTGCTTAACTAATAGGTTTGCAAGCTTGAATTTGTGATAGAGTGTTTGTTAGTTTGCAACTCCTTTTTTTCTGTGACGAGTTGAGATTTCATGCTGTGGGTAGTGGGAAGGATTTCTGTGGCTGGCAAGCTAATGATAGACGGGAAAAGCTGGTGGAATCAAGTCTCGTACAGTGACTATCAGTATCATCAGTTTCCTAATAAAAAATTAAAGCTTGAATGCTGCAGATATATTCAACATCGGCTGTTTGGAATTCTAGGTGCGATTAGTGAAGTTGAACTCCACATTGGGATATTTTTGTGGGCATTTGATGATTGGCTTTTAGGTCTATGATTGCATGCTGGTCTATCTGTGTTCTCGTGCTGCATTAGGCCGATCCTTTCTTGGTGGGATAAGATGTTTGAAAAATCTGAACTTCCATCTGTTTCACATTTGGTTGTTATGTTTGTATGGAATTTGTGCAAGGCTCAAAGAAAATGATGCATGTTTGAAAGTCTTTTCTAACAAGAACCCGACCTGACATTATTGCTCTTCTTTATCATACAAGGATCGAACTACTTGTGGTTTATCATTCGCCTTGTTTGTTAGATGTTCTGATTTCCTGTAAATTACTTTTTATTTTATTTGCCTCTTCTTCTCACTATGTGTTTATTTTATCTGGTGTTCTTTCAGTAAGGGTAAGAAAATAAAATATCAAAATGGCGAATAGTAAATACGAGTATGTGAAGTCATTTGAAGTTGAAGATGAGATTGTCCTTCCCCATGTCATTGTTGTTCGACTTCATGCTCGTGACTTTTTAAGGTAATGTTTTAGCTTCTTGGGCTTTCATTCAGTTAGCATTTTCTACTTGTATATTGTGAGTATGAGTACTGACTACTGAGGAGGAGAAGGAGAAGGGGAAAGCATAAAAGAACTTAGAACCTCTCTAGCTTTCTGTTTGCAGTTACAGACTTATCATTTGCCTGCTGCTTGGTAGGAAAAATGCCTTCACATCTTTACCAGCTTTGGTATTCCTTGATATAACAAACTGATTTTTGGTGTAAATGGGAGAACCAACGTGTTCAACTCTGCTTTAAGACAGTTCAAATCTTAATGCTTTTCTTGATATCTAATTGTGCAGATTCTGCAAAGCTCACGAGCTAAGAAGACCTTATGATGAAGAAGCGTTGGATTTGATGAACTCATGTGCTGAATTTGTGCAGAGAAAATATCCAGATATACTCTTTTCTTACGGATTCAATGATGAATACAGGTCTCAAAATCCTGCATAATTGTCCTACATTTCTTTGATTTGGGCTGATCATGTCTTGTTTCTGACAATCTTATTCTTTATGGATCTGGCATGCAGTTTTGTCTTCAAGAAGAAAACCAAGTTCTATGAAAGGCGAGCTAGGTACATTCCAATCGAGGAAAATATATTTTAGTTGTTTATTTTTCTTATGTTTTTGTCTTTGGACGGTTAAGGCTGATGTACTTCCTTTTCATGACTTTTCAGCAAAATTTTATCCTTGATTACGTCATGTTTCACTTCAGTATTCGTTGACAAGTGGAAAGAATTTTTCTCGGGAAGAGAACTTAAATATCCTCCTTCATTTAGTGGACAAGTTATTGTTTGTGCAACTGTTGATGTTCTTCAACATTATCTTGCATGGAGACAACATGAATGTCAGTAGATCCATCTTACCTTTGGCAATTGTTATTTTTGTTCATCCATAAGCCAGGTAGTTTCTTGTTTACTTGGGTGAAATTCTGACAGTGTACACTGTTTCAAACTGATTTGCAGGTTATATAGCTAATCAGTATAGTGCTTGTTTCTGGGCGTTGGTCAGTCATGGGAGAACTGAAAAGGAAGCCGAAGATATTTTGAAGGTTCATGGTGTTTTGTTTAATATACCATCTCCACTTCATTTTCTACTTGTTTGACTATAACCAACAAAGGGTTGTATAGCTGATTCCTATGTAAAATTGTGATTTTGTAGGATACCAAAAAGCAAGAGCAAAATGAGATGCTTCATCAACAATTCAATATCAATTACAATAATCTTCCCAAAATATTCCGCTGGGGTTCTTGTGTCTTACTCATGGAGGTGTGTCCTGTCATTTGGAATTTTTTTTTACCATTTTCATAGATTTTCGCTTGGCCTCAAGGGCATGTTTATCTTATTTTATTATATCCCCATCGATTTCTAATATGCTCGTGTCTTATGAGCAGGTGGAAGCTATTGTAAAGTACGATAATGATGGATGTCCTGTTAAAAGATTGAAAAAGCAAATATCAACAGTTCATTCTCAGGATATAGCTAGAAGAACCTTTTGGAATCAGAAGCCAAGTCTCGTAAAAGAACTGGGTTCTTTTGTGGAAGATATCAAAAGAATCGACAAAGACTACATAAAATATTTCCAATCCGAAGCCAAGTTGATGCCATATACTTGGGCGGTCATAAGAATCGACGGATGCCATTTCCACAAGTGAGTACCTTAAAAAGGAGATGATAATGCATCAAAATTATGGATTTCTGATATATGTCTGTCATACTTGGCCATTATTGAATAATTTTGCAGTCTGATGCGTAAAACCGTTTTAATTTATTGTGTCAGATTTGCTGATGTTCACAAGTTCGAGAAACCAAATGATGAACAAGCTTTGAAGTTAATGAATGAATGTGCAGTTGGTGTTCTGGATGAGTTCCGAGAAGTTATATTTTCATATGGTGTTAGTGACGAGTACAGGTATAATGGAATGTTCTATAATGGTTCTGGTTGAATGACTTTCAGCCTTATATCCTTATATATCAATCTAATCAAGGTCGAATGACTTTCAGCTTTATATTGAAGAGAAGCAGTCACCTTCAAAGAACAAATCCGAGGTATGTCTTCTTTCTTGTCCATCTTCCATTCCATTAAGAAATATCTTCACTCTGAATTCTACTGTCTAATTGCTTGTATTAAGAATATCCCATATTGTGAACAGTTTAGTACTTCAACTTAATCACTTAATCAGAGGAAGGTGGAGATTGATAATCTATTCAGTTTAAAAAGTCTTCTTCCCTTTACAAAAGCTGTGTTTATAGAAGTCGTCCAAACACGCGAAAAGTTTGTTTGACGTGTTTTAGTTATACAATTCTTTTTCACATTTCATTTTTTATATAATTTCTGCAGCGATATTGTGTCTTCTGTAGTATCATTATTTACATCCATGTACGTGATGAAATGGAAGGCCTTCTTTCCGTTGACAGATTTAGTTTGTCAGCCGTCATTTGATGGAAGGGTTGTCTGCTATCCATCAACAGAGATCCTGCGAGATTATTTATCATGGAGGCAAGTAGATTGTGAGTAATAGAAACCAAAATCCAATATTTTTACTCTCCCGGAACCCTGAAACCTTTGTGAAATGTAAATTTTAATGCTAATTTCTTTGGATTGCAGGCCATATAAACAATCAATATAATACTTGTTTCTGGATGCTGGTTAAGTCAGGCAAAAGTAGAAGTGACGCGCAGCAGATCTTGAAGGTGCTTATCTTCACTTGTAACTTAGCGTGTTTGTCAGCCATTGAAAAGTGTCAATCTGCATGCCTGAGTACTTGTCTTGTTCGTTGATACCTGTGTCTTTCGCGCAGGGTACTCAATCACAGGAGAAAATGGAACTGCTAGCTAATAACTTTGGTATTGACTACAATACTATAGGCGAAATGTTACGCCTTGGTTCCTCGGCTTTCTGGGTAATGGCTTTCTCTATTCCTACAGTTGTAAACGTGCACACTAATTTCTTAGGCGGCAAGACGGGATTTTAGTGGGTTGCTAGTTTGAATCTGAGTGGAGCTATCTTGTTTGACATGCAGGAAGAGGAGAATGGCTGCAGCAAGATAGTCGTACAACACTGCAACATAATTGATGATGGTTTTTGGGGAGCACATCCTTGCATTCTTGCTTAGCTCTTCCAATGATTCTGGAATTCAGTTCAGTCAAAGGTATGCTCATAGACTCATCATCTAAGCACGGAAAATATTCCGGCTAAGTTGTTGAGGATAATCTTCCAAATTCCAATTCTATTCTTAAAATTATGATAATGGCCGCCATTTGAAAATGTTTCTTTTTGTTCCTGTCTTGAGGCTGAACTTGCAAGTTCACTTATGCACACAATGGCAAGCAAATTGCTTCTGAAAGGTGCACTAAAGTGCAATAAGTTGATTGCAGGCTGCCAACTACAGGTCAATGGTGCATGAAGATATTTTATGGAGATCGCTATCTCAAAGTTACCATGAGTATTGAGTAAGCTAATATGCTAGCCTCGCTTTACAAATTAAGGTGCTGAGTGTATTGGCTGAGAACTATGCCCTAGAACACTCTACTACTGAGGAATTTGTACTCTATAATCCTTTGACATTAATGTTGTGACATTTCTGTTGCATAATGCAAAGAGGTACATTGTAGATTGTTCTCAGCAACATTTGTTTTTGCTGTCTGCCTATATCAGAAGAACACACTTCAGGGAACATCTAACAAAATCCACCATTAGCCACGAACTCAACTAGACCACAACAATTGCGAAAACCTTCATACAATCAAACTGAACTCAAATAGAGGAAGTTCAGTTGGAGAACATATAAAAAAAGGCGGTATACAAATAACACGAGGAATGCAGGTAAAATGGGCTCAAAACTCATGCTTGAGCACACTTGTTCAGGCATTCAACTCCGTCTTCTAGATAATCTTCCCTGCTAATCCAGAACTCAGGTGCATCCTACATAGAGATACATAGAGAAAGACGTATGGTGAACCCACATTTGATGGCAGAAACGATTAAGGAGAGATGTTATATAACTGTCACCATGTGAGAGAAAGGTACCTTCATAATGCCAGCAAGAACCGCACCTCCTAGGTAGACCATATGCTTTCTTCGTGGTGGATCCTCAATCCTTAATCGTAATTTCTGTAGAAATGTTTTGCCTATTCAGTGAACCACTTCATGAAGCAAATATAGAAAAAAATGTAGCTGCATTGTTTCACAAACCCTTCCGATATATGATTGATCTTACCTTCAACCCATCTTTGTTTCCCTTCAAAACCGCATCAAGGTACCGATCTTGTATTTCCTTCTCCAAGCTGGACCAACGTAAAAGTTAAAAAAAGGGTAAAAGCCAAATACCATAAACCAGCATTAGAGTTAGTATCTTATTAATAGTAGTGACAGGAGATAAGACCAATTACCGGCTAGGCAAGCCAGGATACATGGTGCTTCCTCCACTCAATACAATATGTTGGTATAGCTGCAAATACAGAGAAAGGTTTGGTCTTTTAATAGTTGGCGCTTCAAGAATAGTTAGTAAGAATAGTCATAGTTGAGACCTATGAGCATAAGATGAAGCTTAGACGTGCCAAAAAATACAGATACTGTACCGTCATTCTGTTATCGATATCCATTTCCTGGATGCAGTGAAACACCATGTCAGCCATTCCATCACCTTCAACATCAATAAGTTCCTGTTCAAAAGGGGAAGCAGTCCTAAGTTTCAGAAACTTCCAAGAAATTGATAGTCGACATGACCTTGAACATCACTGGTTTCAAAGTGTGCAAAATAGTATGAATGACAATCAAACAAACTCAATCATAAAACCCACTACTACTCCAAAACAACAAGACGAAACTGCAAAATTCAACTTCATAAACATTAAATGTCGTGCTGTGTTTTGGGCTAACTAAATTAGGGGGGATCTTACATGTAAAGATTGCAAAAATGAGGGTAAGAGATGCTTACTGGTGTGAAAAGAGCCTCAGGTGCCTGAAACCGTTCTGTACCAACTTTAATGGTTCTTCCATCTGGCAGCTGATTGATATATAAGAAATCAATATCTTACTGTATGATAGGAATCTAAGAGCACCAGAATTATACCACTAAGAAACCCAGAGATTTAACATATCTGCTTAAATGTAGAAGCGTTAGTTCAGATAAATCTTAGTCATGTTCTACATAACGGAATGGCGTAAAGATCAATCAGTAAGTTGAGCCCCTTGGTTAACTGAAACAGAGCTGAAAAATCCCGAAGAAAAGACAACATGTCCATAAGTCGACTAGAGACACAGACAAAAACCATAGGAAGACATTTGACTTACAGTATAATGCTTGACAAGAATCGTAGTCTCAAGTCCCAGTTGGTATTCCCTCTTGTAATCGTAACTGTTGAAATGCTTGAAAATTAGATTATTCTCAAACATCCTTTAATTATCAACTAAACCAGAATATGGTTATTTCACCTAATGTAGCAAAGCTTCTCTTTCATTTCCCGAACAGTTTCAAAATCAGCATTCCTGTTCATTGCATACCTACGCAAAACACAGAGTTGCAAAGTAGTTGATGCAAATATTTAGTGCGGTTAGAAAGAAAATTCTAACCGAACAAATGAACTAACTCGTGAGAAAAATGTAGGTCTTTACCCTCTCCGTGAAAGAAGGTCAATCAAATACGACGTTATGTGCCGACCAGCAACATTCATCCGTTTCGTAAGATGAGGAAATGAGTAACCATCAACAACAGGAACCTAAGAAAAAGTAGTTATGTTACCAACTTGAACCGTAAGACTAATGATAAATATTGCCCTTCGGAAAAAGAACTGGCCCTTCAAAAGTTTTACCACATGAGTGACACCATCACCAGAGTCGATAACAAGTCCAGTAAGCAAACCTGCAAGATTGCGTTGAGTTGTTGAAGTTGAGGAAGAACTAGAAACACGATGGCATGACCATTCAACAAAGTGATATTTCCATTTACAAAGCAAGTAACCCTAAAGTTTTAAATCGCCAACCACATACAAAACATATGCAAAAATAAGATTTAAACCTTCTTCTATCATGTCAAGCACCTTGGGCATACAATGTCAACACTGCTTGGATTTGAATGAAGACCCCGGCAAAGTTATACTTCTCGAACATGGTCTCAATCTGTATTTTGAAGACAAGGACAGAGAAGTGACTGTCATTTAACCCAAAAAACAAATGAAAAACAAACTTAATATGAATATGGGTATACAAAAGTCAAGGGCAAACCATCAGTTCACGATTCTTTTTGGGATTAAGAGGTGGATCAGTGAGCAGAATCTTGCACTCAGATGGGTCTATCTGTTCAAATCAAGTAGCACGGCAACCTTACTTGGGACATCTTAATAACCAAGACTCAAAACCAAAAAGATTAACATTGCATCTCCTCCCATCAAACAGAAGCATCACAATATTACCTTAAGTTCATTGTAGAATGCATGATCCCACACATGTCCCATGTCATCCCAATTTTGGATGATTCCATTGTTGACAGGATAAGATATGTCCAGTTGATGCCTCAATTCCGCACACGATTCTCCAACAACAATATCCTAGAGAAATCAGGAAGAAGGAAACATCAGAGAATAAAAAAATGATCGACCAAGAGAGTCTCAGTTTGTAGTTATTAGCAGCGCATAACTGAAACTGTTCAACGCTGCATGATGACAAATCGTAACAACAAGGCAAGAAAACAGAATGGAAAAAGTTACAACCTTCAATTGTTGTTCCATGAGAGATTCTTCATATCGAAGCATGGGCCTCCCCACCACACATGGGAAAACAGAAGTGGGGAAATTCTCTCCAGCAAATCCACACTTGACATACTGGAAAGGAAACATGCTGTTAAAAGCATAGTACAAGAACCAAATCCAAACAAAATGGTCAAAATGCATTCTTCATTCAATCCATCAAGCCTCTTCCCAATTGAACATCCGTCAGTCTCAAAACAACCAAACCAATACTAAAAAACCCAGCAGGTTCAATCACAATGACAATGTCCCACCACAAACTAGCAGAATTGATCATGGTAGAGCACCATAGAAAGAACATATTCACATTCAATCAACGCAAGGGGTAATACCCAGATAGAAAAAAAAATTGGACAATGGAAACAAAGATGGAAGCTTTACCCCAGTTCCATTGTCGCAGACGACGACCTTCCTGCTGTCCATCTGCTTGTTGATGAACAGCGATTGAGAGGTACAGAATTTGCTCTTCGCTGCAGTCGTTTGTTGTCTGATCTAACTCCACCAGGCCGCTAATGATCAATGATTCAAGATCGTACCAACCCTTCTCCATTCAGCAGGGGAAGACGCCATTTTTCAGTATACAGAGAGAGAAAAAACAGCCTATAACCACCTCCGACCTTCGGTTTGGCAGGCTCCCTTGCCGCAGCACAATGAACACCCAATCTGCGAGTTTGCTGCTGATCGAAGGCTGGCTTCAGATGTGCGATAAATGGTGAATTGAAACTCAGTTGGTGGGTTGCTTAGGGGGGACAGGATTCAACAGTAGGGATGGCAATTTAGCCACCCATGGGTAATTTTACCCAAACCAAAGTAGACCCATTTATTATGGGTAGGATTTGGGTGATGTGTGTATGAGTTTGGGTTTTGTATATGGATTTGGGTTAGATATGGATATTATCTAAATGGGTATGGGTTGGATATGGATATCCATTTACTTGAGGGTGTTTTAACTACATATACAAAAATTGGACCTATTTGTAAAAACTTGAAAAGTTTAGGCACCAAAATGTGAGATCAAAAAATTTTAGGTACTAAAATGTAATTTTTCATCGATATTTTGAGGACTTATATGCAAAAAAATTTAAATTTAGGTACTTAATATGCATAACTATTAAGTTTAGGTACCAAACTGTAATATGCATTTGGGTATGGGTACAAACCCAAATCCATATGTTAAAAACCCAACCCAACCCAAGTAAATGGGTATGGGTACAAACCCATCAAACTCTACCCATCTAATATCTATTTGAATTCCATACCCAACTCAATTAGGTTGGATAGTAATATACCCATGGGTATGGGTAATATTGTCATCCCTATTCAACAGGCGAGGAAGTGAAGTATTAATCAAATCTTGCCTTCCTCTTTACAGAATCGCCGTTCGGAGGATTCAACAGGCGAGGAAGTGAAGTATTATTACGCAATTCTTATTTTTAGTTTCTTTTCTCGAGGGCCCGGCTCCCGCCAAAGATCTGATTGGGCTTAGTCCACTAGCCCATCTAACCATATCTCTCCGTCTCGATCTTTACTCTTCCTTCCCTTCTCGCTTTCTGCACCCTCTTCCTCGGCGGACAATTTCCTTGAGCAATGGAGTCGTCGCCGTCGAATTCAACAGTCGGCATAGCCGCCGTTTCCCGGCGGCTCTTGTTCGACCGCCGCTATGGCTGGGTGTAAGATATACTCTCTCTCTTTCTCTATCTATCTTTTTTCCCTATCTGTTACTGTTTTGCTTGAATGTTTTATTTAGCGCGAGAGTGTTCTGATTTGGGCGTTTGCTTTCTAGGGTGGATGAATGGAAGCACCCATCGGAGGAAGCCTTGGGTGGCGGCCGTGGAATGTGAGTTCTTATCTCAAAACTTCCCAAGTATTTATCTTTCCCGCTTACTTCTCTGTTTGGTTGCTTAGAAAATGGAAGAATCATTTCCCCTGCAATTGGGTTCGAGTGATGATTAAGGAGTATGCTGTATCACTGATTTCCATTTGGCTTTCATCATTTCTGAAGGTTCTGCATACTACCTCTGGCAAAATCATTGTGGATGATGGCTTCGAAATCGGTACGTTTCGAAGTTCACCCTCTTCGTTTTTTTCGATTAGGTAGCTTCTTGATGATACCACTCCATGCTGGATTTGGGAATCTATTCGGTGGTGAATGAATTCTGTGACTGATTTACATCCAAGTGTATTACCTTCAACACATGAAAGTCCTGTTCTTTTAGCTTACAGTGGTTAACTCATAACTGTTTGTTAATGGAAATTGGTTGACTTCCATTCTATGCCTGAATTGGGTAGGCTTGTTCATGATTACTACAGTCATATTCATGCGATTGAAACAGTGCCGATTTCAAGGATTGTAAAGACATTAGCTTCTTCTTCTTCTTGATCATTTTGCTTTCCTTGGTATCACCCTCTGCAGATAGATCTCGCATCGAGTTATGCCGCTGAAGTCATTGAAAAGCCTGAGCTTTTATCACCTCAGACGCTGCAGGCGAATCTGGGTACTCAGCTCAACAGATTCAAGTCTTCCCTGCTCAACCCCAATTTCAATCCACTTGTACGAAACTCTCCGTCCTCCCATTCTGCTCGTGCATTCTCAAATTCACATGTAAAGCTTGACAACAAAGAACCACAGACTGATTGATGATGCCACTATTATGATGCAACATTGATCTTTTGGTCTATTTTTTTCACTTCATCAGTGAAGTTCAGCAAGGAAAGAAGGAAATTTAAGAAAACTGAACAATGAAGATATGATCTGGAAGACTGGCTAGTGGCTAGACTTCCATGGGAAATGAAAGGTTCTCTACCTGGTCCCAAATACTGAATTGAAGTTCACATTAGTAAGCACTCTTGAGGCAGTAACCACCATCGACCAAAAGGTTCAACCCACTAAGGTACTTGGACTCATCACTCACCAGGTTCAGCGCGGCCTCCGCGACATCCTCGGGTTTCAGAACAACTCCTTTCAGATTCCCGACCGCCGAGAACATCTCCTCCAAAGCCTTCTCATCCAACCCAATCCACTCCTCGTTCATCGGAGTCGCAGCCCCAAACGGCGAGATGCAGTTCACTCGAATCCCGAACTGCCCCAGCTCCACGCACAGGTTCTTCGCCAGCCCCACCACCGCGTGCTTCGACGCTGCGTACACGTGTGGCGCGCCTCCGTAGGTGGCCGTTGCAACGCTGCCAGTGAGGAGAATGGTCCCGCTCTTCTCCGGGATCATCACCCTGGCGGCGTGCTTCGCCGCCAGGAAAGATCCGTACACGTTGACGTCGAACATCTTCCTGAACTCCTGATGGTCGACGGACAATATGCCTACTTTCTTCTCCAGGAGGTTGATCTTCTCACCTATTATCCCGGCGTTGCTGTACATGATGTCGAGCTTCCCGTGCGTCGAAACGGCGGTGTCGACTGCGGCTTGCATATCCGAGTCGTCGGCCACATCGCAGTGAACGTAGGAAACAGGGTGGCCGGACTCGAGCTGGATCTGCCTGGACACAGACTGGCCCAAGTCGGACCGGATGTCTGCTATCACCACTTTGGCGCCGTGCTGAGAGAAGAGCCGCGCCGCTGCAGCACCGATCCCCCTGGCTCCCCCGGTTATGAGGGCTACTTTGCCTTGTAATCTTTTCGCCATGGTTGCTGCTAACAGGTAGTGAAGATTGAGAGAGAGCTCTTCTATTCTATTTAAGGGCAATTGGATCTGCCTAATCAATTTGAAATTACAAAATCTCGCATCTTACATTACTAGTTCTCGGCTTCTCGCATGTTATGTTCTGACCACACCTCTCATGTGCTGAGATTCTCTTGTATTAGTACTAGTTTTCATTGCCCGCGCTTTGCGCTGGGACGTGGGATTAATAAGAGGTACTTGAAAGATCAATGCTTTTTGCATTAAATTACACATCAGAACTTGGTGTTCTGCTGGAAAAAATGCAGTTCAATAATCATATCAAAATACACATCAAACACCAACGAATAACGTAGGCTAAATACGGGCTACTATATAACCACAATGATCACCTTCAAAACCTTATACGAAAGTGATTTGATAGACTTAATAGAATGAGCCCAACTTAAACTTATAATTACATAACAGAAAAATTGGTATAGACATCTATAAGTCAAAATATAACACTTTTGGTGTATTGATGAAAATCTTATGGTTACTGGATATTGGTTGGACTTCTCAGATGACCCTCCTCTACTCTCAACTTGCGCTTAACTTCCATTCCATCTGCAAATGAAAATAAGGAAGCATTAATAAAGGAGAAGGAAAACGAACAGTATGATGATATATCATATAAAAGCTTCATAGCTACAGTAAGAGAAGTTCAGCAAAGCCATAACTACAGGTTGATTCATTTTTCGCGACATATGATTTCATTTATCTACTTCATGACCTGCCTGTGGTAACTGAAACTCTGAAAATATAGAATCGTGGCCCAAAATCAGCAAAGCAAAACATCCTACAAAAAACCATTTCAAAATCTGCAGCAGTTGTAAACCATGAGCATGTGAAAGAACAAAAGAAACATAGTTTGAAAAGTTTGTTAGTGATAATACTAAAATAGTAAACCTTGTACAGATAAGGAACAATTGAGAAAACCCGGTGAAGTAATTCTTCATTGTTATGAAGGGATGCTGCATTCATTAAAGCATTGTCTCCACTTTCCACTAATTCCATCAGTAGAAAACACAGAACAATAGCTGCAATCTCCAACTGTAAAATATTCAATCAAGAACATTGGAAAAGTGGTGGAGAGATAAATGACACCCATTACAGGCGATTCAAATTAGACGAAGCATCAAGACTCAAACTCAACCATACCCTTTAGTGTATTTCTGGTCGACAGCGCATTGGAACTTCAAATTCAACAATATATTGCCAAAAGACAACACACTGGCCGTATTCCATGCCACATCGCAGCAGGTAAGCTCGCCATGACCCCTTTGGCATTGATTTCCTGTGCCACCATTAATCTAATTGATCTAACTGCAACATGAGATGACAAAAGTGGAAGAATCAGTTACTATAGAACTATAGAAATCAAATGAAACCCACAAAAGTTAAAGAATCAATGTCCATAGAACATGAGCTATATGCATAGAGCAGAAGATATTAACGGTCTGAAGTTCTGCAGTCTGGCTAGCCACTTGGACGAATCAAAAGTTCAGGCCAATCATCTACCTTCTAAACACAGGCTCGGCCTTAAAAAGAAACAAAAGTCACACATCAAAAGGAGAAAATTGGGCTCGAAAACAGGAGGAGAGTGAGGGATTATAACTCTTCAGACTCCGCCCATAGTGGATTGCTATCATAGGCTTTGGTTGCTCTAACGACTCCACAACCTGACACTAAAGAAGAGATGAAAAGGAGAACAAATCAATATAAAGACAACAAAGAGAATATACTCTCCATAGAAAGAAGGGAAAGAGAGCGACCGCTTGGTTACTGCACATTCGATTCTTCGGAAATGAAGAAAGCAGTGTAGCGGTGGTCAGTCGAACCGAAGTATCTACTGAGTACTAATTTTCTTAATTCCAAAATGGTGATCCGTCGAATCGTCGTATTCACACCGTGGTCTCTCCAAAACATAGGATCACCCTCAAAAGAGTCAATTAACATGGATTAGAAAAGAGAAAAACTGGTTTAGATAATAGGGGTAGAGAGAGGAGAAATAGATAAACAGAGGTACAGAACCATCGCAGGCAAGAGAATAAGCGTTGTCTATGTCTCTGGTCTCAGTCTCTCTACCGATGACATCACGACAATGAATCATGCGGACACTCGATAAGTCCGGCAGATCTGCAAGTAGAAGGGGAAAGAGACTGGAATCACAGTGCATAGAGCAGAGAAAGAAAAATTAAAAGAAGAAGAGATTGAATGCTCACCGGAACCCACAGATCTGGGCAAGAATAAATGAAAAAGAGAAATAGACCGCCGGAATTCCAAGACGCGTAGCTTCGGGATTTCAACACCTCACCCAACCTGATTCTCGTGGCCACCATCATCGTTGTTGTTCCAACTGCAACTTAAGCCTACAAAGATGGAAGAATCGACAGAACTGGTGATTAGGGGAGGCAATCGAATCAATATAATGGAAAAACATTCATCAACCAGTTATTCACCTTCTCTGCTCAGATTTGGCGGTTTCGTAGATGAAGTGGCTGCTGTTGGAATCCGCAAAACGTGTTTCAGAACACCAGGTATTTGCCACTGAAGAGATCTAAAGACGCTGTGTTGGTCACCGAGTTGCTCGACGTTATGTTGAGGAGAATAAGTCGAATCATAGTCGTCGGAGTGCTTGTCAGTTCTCCGATGCTTGGTCGCACCGGCGAGTTGAGAGAAGGGAGGAAGACGTAGAGAGAAAAGAGAGAGAATGGTTTCTGTGGATCACTTTGCAGGTCTAGACTGGGTACCGTCCAAGCAAGCATCAGAGATGTTAGATGAGGTAGGTTAAATGAGTGGACCTCAATGAAAGGAGAAAAATATCACTGTTGCACTCTCTTTTCGCAAGGCGCCCTGTGACCCCCTGTCTCCTCAAGTTCTCTGTTTTCCTCAGCAGGCCCACTACCCCCACTCTTTACCTTTTCTCGCCAGTGTCAAGTCAAATCAGGTGTCTAATGATGAAAGTAGGATAGAAAGAAGGTCGCCTCTCCAATCTCTTGCAAAGAGACGCATAACTCGAGGTGGAAACAATCCACCGTGTGATCTACGCGCGTGAGGGCCACTAAGAGGTCTCTCAACCAGAAGGTAAACCAACACTAAAATGGAACGAAACTGGATAAATCTCGTCCCGAACAAAATAGGCCTCACCTGCGACCGCCCACACCAGAGTCCCATCCCAGTCGAAACAGTGTTTATGAGTCACGATGTACAGTAAAAGGTATCTTGGTGCACAGGAAATGGCAATGCTGGGGGTTTTCTTTTTTCAATATCATTTGAGGACTACATTGGAACTTGTACTCCCAAGTCCCAACTCCCAATTCAATTACCTTTGTGTCGAATATATTATTAGGGCAGTAGGCCATAGTAGTTCTGCAAAAGTCCAACAGCAGAAAACCGATACACATAGGAAAACCTAGTAGGTTGATAAGGAAGACGTTAACATCATTAGCTGTCATAGTTTCACCAAAACGATTCCTGAAGGCATCGTTATGAACAGTAGTTCGTAGCTCAATCGCATCAATCTTTCTGTTGTGAACACATGAGATGACATCAGTCCCAGCTTCTGAAGATTATGAGCACAAAAAGGTCAGAGCTTTTCCATCCCCATTTCAGTTAATATGGACCATCTACGTTCCTTAGTTCTTCACACAGACATGCCAATGGCTGAGAAAAACCGATATCAAATGAAGAGATTCACATAGCATGATAGCAATCACCAAAAGAAACACGGAAGAAGGCCTCAGCATCAATCTCAATTCTCAACCTTCCCGCCGACGAAGCTATCAAGTGTCATCTGCCTGCGATTCCCAGTCCTCCCATTATTAACGAAAGAAGACAATTAACTGGATGCTCCCTCGGAATCCCAAGCGCCGCCGGCGGGGGGACGATTCTCCGAATCCAAAATCAAACACGGAAGAAGGCCGGATGTGGTGGCATGAAGAAGAGGAGGGCTTCCAATTTTCGCAAGCCACGTCGATTTCTCCCACCGCGGCCTACCAATCGAAGTCTCCTACTCAAAGAACGGAATGGGAAAGAAACCTAACTGAGTTCGTCGTCGTCAATTGAGGACTGGCTCGATCTATATTATTTTTTCAGCACAGGGATGAAACATTATTGGCGACTGGCAAAGGACATAATTCTCTGTTGTATAATTTTCTGCGCTTTCGTGTAATTTTTCCAGCAATTTTCTGTTCGTTTTTTAGATTTTTCCCGGGAATTTTTTTGGCCTACATGCCAATAAATCGGAGAAAATGAATATATCGTAAATATCGCGATATGCCGTGGTATTTTGATATATCGTCAATTTCAATTTCTCGTCAATTTATCGCGTTTCGATTTTGGTTTTGAGGAGGCGAAACGTTTCGCGTTTCTGCGTTTCTCTCGTATAATTTCCTGCCTCGCGTCCGTTTCGACAGTTTCGCAGCTTTAGGGCCACGGTTGGCCGGAGTTGGGCCCGCCCTAATCGGCCTGAGTCCGGCATCACACCAAAAAGCTGATATTGGGCTTGATAATATGGGCCTCTCTGTTCAAAAGTTATCTGGTGTGATAAATGTTTCGGCCCATCCAAATATTGAGCCAGCGGCAGATGCGTCAGAGGATCCGCGAAACCGATCAACAGAACTTAGAAACGCGAAACGGAGGGGAAAAACGCGAACGTTTCGCGTCCTCAAAACCAAATCCGAAACGCGATAAATTGACGATATTTTGACGAGAACTTGAAATTTACGATATTTGGCGATATATTTAAATATCGCGATATTCAACGATATTTTACGATATTTTGACCAAAATTTCCTCCGGGCGATAATTTGACGGCTATGTGAATCCAGAACCAAGAATCAGAAAGCTTCCCGGCGACTATCTCCGTTCTTTCCATCCCTTTCGCCGGCCGAACTGAAACGTTGATGATTTCGAGCATGATTACCCTCCCTGCTCACCTAATAGAGACTTCCAGAAACATTCCGAGATAAGTTTCGTGGTATTTCAGGGCCTCCTCCAGGGACAGACATGGCTGCCGCTGTAACTCCCGCCTGCGTTGATAGTAGATCAACTGGATTCAATCAAATCTAAATTGGAATGAGATTTATCCATAAAAAGTGAAAGAGAAGGGCAAAAACCAAAACCCAGAAACTAATCTCCAGTGTAATGACTGCAGATTAGATTCGAATAAATCAACCCTGTTCGATCATAAAATAGATCACTTCCCTGTTCTGCCCGATGAGTCGAAACCCGTTGCCGCTTGTCTTCACCTGAGTCTTCCTGTAAATAGGGCTTCGGAACGTTGTGCACGGTTCTCTCTATCTAAATGTTACCGTTCCTCGGTTGGAGGCTTGGAGCGAGTGGATGAGATGAGTTCTTGGCGAGGAAGATGAATGGCCGCCGAAGAGGATGAGATGATGATCTTTCTTCAGCTGGGTTCATCTTCCTCATTAGAATTGGTAAATGGGCTTTGTCTAAAGCAGATCCATCAATGGGCTGAGTAAGACAGGCCCAACATTGATTCCCGAGCGGATGCCGGGTTGACATTTGACAAATGACAACCTTTGTTTTGAATTTTGATGCAAATGTTTTAGTGAAAATTTTATAATTAATGCGTTGGGTGCTCTTCACTGCTCTATGAGAAATGTTTAGTGTTGCAAATCATTATATAATCAAGTGGGTCACAATATTTTAGAGACTAGAAATAAGGATAACAAGAGAGAAACATAATTGATTCCATATTCTTCATAATAACTTAATTTGCCTCTTTTGAGTGCATGTGGTGACACATTAATCAAGCACTCTTGAGGCAGAAACCACCATCAACCAAAAGGTTCAACCCACTTAGGTACTTCGACTCATCACTCACCAGGCTCAGCGCCACCTCCGCGACATCCTTTGGTTTCAGAACAACTCCTTTCAGATTTCCGATCGTCGTGAACATCTCCTCCAGAGTCTTCTCGTCCAGCCCCATCGACTCCGACCCCATCGGGGTCGGAGTCCCAAACGACGAGATGCAGTTCACACGAATCCCAAACTCCCCCAGCTCCACGCACAGGTTCTTCGCCAGCCCCACCACAGCGTGCTTCGATGCAGAGTACATGTGCGGCGTGGTGCCGTAGCTGGCCGTCACGGCGCTGCCCGTCAAAAGAATGGTCCCGCTCTTCCGCGGGACCATCACTCTGGCAGCGTGTTTCGCTGCCAGGAACGATCCGTACACGTTGACGTCGAACACCTTCCCGAACGCTTCCCGGTCAACAGACAGTATGCCTACTTTCTTGATCTTCGCCAGAGGGTCGAACCTCTCCCCTGCTATCCCGGCGTTGCTGTACATGATGTCGAGCTTCCCGTACGTCGAAACGGCGGCGTCGACTGCGTTTTGCATGTCCGAGTCGCTCGCCACGTCGCATTGAACGTAGGAGACGGGGTGGCCCGACTCGAGTTGGATCTGGTTGGATACGGAGCGGCCCAGGTCGGACCGGATGTCGGCTATCACGACTTTGGCGCCGTGCTGAGAGAAGAGCCGCGCCGCCGCAGCGCCGATCCCCCTGGCTCCGCCGGTGATGAGGGCTACCTTGCCTTGTAATCTTCTCGCCATGGTTGCTAAAAGGTAGTGGGGTGAGATTCAGAGCTCTTCGTATTTAAGGGCATATGATCGATCAATTGAAAATTGCTCTGACTTATTCCAATAATAACTTCCAAGCCCAAGCAATCCAAATAACAAACGCCTAAACGTCAGCAGGAGCTGGACTCTTTAACTGCACCTCCCACTGAGGAGATGATTCTTCTGCTAACAACTCCCAAGACCATTCCCTCCTCGACTATATAATATATCTATGTATGCATCGAGATTCTGAGTATTATTTTAAAACCATACTTGGTTTGAATATTTCATACTGAATTATCGGGTGTATGTAAAGTTTAGAAGTGATGTAAAATTCTTAATTTAGTATTAATTTTTAGAACTACTATAAAACAAAGATATTGTGTTTGCAAATTAAAGTGGCTAGTTCTTTGGAGTTTTTTTAGTTCGGTTAACTGTTAAAGGTTAAATCTCTTGATAATCCAGCATGATTAGACCCATATACGAGTTTAAGAGAACATAATTTCTGAAAATCACTTTTTTAGTAATTAACCATATGTGTCATTAAGATGAATACCTTGCCTTGTAATCTTGTCGCCATGGTTGCTAATTAAGAGCTCTTATATAATATTCAAGGGAAATTAAGTTGAAATGATGAATCTTGGGATGTTAGATTCTAGTTGTACCATGTTACGGCTCGACTAGATCCACTTTTGTCGCTCATTCACCCATTTCCTCAACTATATATATATATATATCAGTGATTCGTTATTTCGTTCGCCGATCCCTATCATACACCAACAACTTCCCTATTATCTTTAGTGACAATTACGTGTTAGTGGAGGGGAATATTGGAATCTGGATAGACAAATGAAGCCACACCTGTTCCTAGTGGCGAAGCCAGAAAATTGGTCAAGTGGTGTTTCATATCGTAAAAAATAAATCAAATAATAGAAAAGTCTAACTATAATATAAAAAGTCAATAACATAATACTCAATATCAAGAACAGGTTAAAAATAAATATTTGTACGATTACATATAACAGTTCAACACACGTTGCTTACAATGAAAAATGACGAGATTTCCTATTATAAGGCAATGTATACAATCCCCATTTACTTAATCTATCCTTCATTGACCAATGTATTCATCAACAATTCAACATTCAACCAGGTATATAAAGGTAATAATTTTGTATCCAACACATCACTAAGTATATCTCATTAATTCAATCTATTTAATCAAAATCTAATTGTTACTTTATTATTATTATTACTAAGGCCAATAATTATTCAAAGTAGGTTTTATTTTGGGGCCTAACTTAAAGGAATTTACAACCGGTCTTTGTCTTCCACATGAAAGGTTGTTGTTTTTTAGTGTATACGCATACTTGTAGTCTTGTACCAAATCAACACCTACTAAATTGTTGGTTAGTGCATATAAATCACTAGTTTGACTCTTTCCAATTCCGTATATACAATCCCCAAATCACAGTTTTGTTTCTCATGGCTTTGCTTTGATGCTGATGGATTAGGGTTTTAACATATTTCTTTACGTGAATTTGCAGCATTCATTCATGGCCAGAATTAAAACTTCCCATATGAGAAAATACAACTGAAGAGCATCAAGTGAGAGAGAGAGAGAGGATGGTAAACTCTACTTTTGCAGCTTCCTTATTTGCCAAGGAGCAACACGCCCTCATGCACACATTTGCGACGGTAAGCAAACTTGTACACAAAAGGGTTACGACGTACTTTGGCTAAACACGAACTCGTATTACATTGTATGCGTGGATTCGATCTGTTGGAGTGCCCTGAATTTGCTATATCAGTCGAGTGTGTGACATTGATAGCATATATGGATGTTCATTTACAATGAATGACACGAATAATGTAAATATGTATCTCGATTTTTATATTTTGCTTTGTCGATTATATCTCATTTATGCATAACATTGTCTCATCTTCATAAGAATATAACGACATCTGGTTTCTTCGTATAACTCAACGTTATTGAAATAAAATATGAACACTATAAATATGCATGAATATTGCAGGTAAAAGAAGCTCTATACACAAGGTCAATGGAGGAGTTAGGTTGAAACCAATAGGAGCTATAGCCCCCTTAAATTTTAAATTTAGGTAAAAAAATTTAGTATTGGCTCACTAGCATCTTAGCGTTGTACTCGGTACTATACATTATGTTGTTTTAACAAACACACGTACGTACGTAACATGATTCTTAATAAGCACGTATTTTCGTCCCACGAGTCGTTTATTCCTTTTTGTAAGTCAGTGGCGGATCGAGGGGGTGGCCACCCTGGGCCATGGCCCAGCCCTCTTCTGGATCCGGAACTAGTATAGCCCTTATGCGTTTATCGATTTTACATTTGACCTAGTGTTATTTTATAATAAAATTGTGCGTAATTAGGAAAATGGGTAAGATGACATATTCAAATCATAACTCTAAATTTAGTCTAGAAATTCTAGCTCAAATGAGTCTCGTCTAAAGAAAAACAAACAATGAAACCTAAAATTCTAAAAGTCTAAAACGTAAAAAGCTAAAAAAAAATATGAGATTTGTTCACTTGAAAAAATCACTAGAGCAGGTGGTGTAAATAGGGATGGATACACGATACAAATTGATTAGTCAATTGATATGTCTAATTTTTTGTGGTATCTAATTTTATAATGAAATGCGGCCCAGTGCTCTACTAGGGGTGGCTATACGGTCCGGTTAAATTGGCCCAAATTGATCCGGTTCAGTCCGGGTTTTTTGAAAATATAAGGACCAAAACTTGGATTGTTTACAGTCCGGTCTTGATGCGGTCTGATCTTGATCCGGTCCGGTCCCAATTCGGTCTTGATTTTATATTGAGCTTGTGGGGATTTGAGTGGTCTAAGGCAGGAAAGGGCGAGGTGTTGGTTAAGTTTTGTACTAAGTGCAAAGGTTTGTGACCGTTTATGCAAATTACCCTTAAGTTTTGGGTGTTGAGCTCTCTTATCCGGTCTTTATCCAGTTTTCGATCCGGTCCCGAACGGTTTTTTACCTCAAATCCAAGCCCAAAGATTGGATTGGATTATTTACTATACGGTCCCGGTCCGGTCTCGGTCCGGGTTATACGGTCCGATTTCGGGTAAAACCAAAAAACCAAAACCAAATAGCCAGCCCTATGCTCTACTATGTCCTGGATCCGCCGCTGTTGTAAGTTCATGCATTAGTATTGTTACGTGGATGAAATGTTTGATGATGTTGTTAGGCAAACGAACAGTTTATCAATACTAACAACCACATAACGAATTAGTCGCAAAAAATGGGGCCACAGTCAAAAACCACCCCCAGCTGCAGGCTGCAGCCATTCATTCTGTGGGCTCGAACCCATAATTGACTGGTTGACGATTTGAACTCTTCCTCGCGTATTTTCAAACCCCCTTTTTTTTTTCCTTATGGTTAACGTGTTAATTTACCTTCCTTAGTTACGACGAGAGGAAACCAACAAGAAGCTAGAAGCTGCATATATACGAAATTTGTGGCATGCCCTAGCTAACTTAGGTAGCTTTGGATTTATGTGAAATTTGTCAACCAATCATTGTCAGGCGGCTTCCTCATTTAGCAAAAGTTAAGAATGTCATTCTCAGACAAGGAGAAGATGCGTTTGTTAGCTGAACTACAAAATGCTAATGAACACGTACGTTGGCAAGAAATTCGAGCGAAAGCTAACTCATGGGTTGAACTTTTCACAGATCAGTCGTACTATGTGCTTTATGACGATGTAGTCTTAATAACAAGCTAGCTCTGACATTGTGTTATAAATCAATTAGTCCCAATAATTCAAGTTGTTGGAAGAGATCCATGTATAAATCTTAACCACTTCCTTACGAATAACCAGCTACATAAAAAAGAAAATCATCACAAAGAGAATGAAATGTTATCGATTGTGATTAGCTAGGTTTGCTTGCTAGCAAGCTAGTTTGATCAATAACAACCCTATCAGAATTCAGAAGCATCTTGTCAACCGTATTAGGTCGAGCTAACTACAATTCGGATTAAGGGTCATAGTTATCAAAAACCTATCTTAATCAACCTGTGTTGATAATTATAGTAGTAGTACTAAATTGATTCATGAACTACTTGGGATTATAGGCCATCGGGGATGAACTACTTGAACAAGTTAACTACTTTTAGTTGACAATGAAACTACTAATGTACGTAGTTTGGCCCAAAAAGAAGATTTTAGCACTTGAAAAGTCTTCATTAAGAATTCCTTTTACAGACCAAATTTCATGAGTTGAAAAATCAAAGATTATTATTATGCAATTTAACCCGCCACATCACTACATCACAACGACTTTTCTTCCAATATTCACGAGCAATCAAACATCTATAAATACCAACAGATAAAAAAAAAAAGACAGACATTGCAATCTTATGCTAAACTAAAAAAAATATGTCTTCCAAATATATCTCATTTCAGCTCCTTGGGCTTCTCCTACTTTCTTGCTTAATCCTCCATGGCCATGCAGCGGTCCGCCATCACACGTTCGTGGTGCGTAAATTTCATATCGTGCTCTTGACATGATCTCTGATGATCGCATCATATCGTCTGTTGACAAAATAGGCCAGTTAATTTTTGTTCATTGTCGATCAGGTCGAAGAGGTGCCATATACTAGACTGTGTAGCACAAAGAACATCATGGCCATCAACGGCAAGTTCCCCGGTGAAACTTTGTATGTCAACAAAGGCGACACCCTCATTGTGGATGTGGTGAACAAAAGCCCACATAACCTCACTATCCATTGGTATATAGATACTATATTACACATTGATTTCCCTAACATAATACCATTATAAGCTTAATTTTCATTTTGTATTTAGATTAATTAACTTTGGCGTTATAATGTGTGCATTCATATAGGCATGGAGTGAACCAACCGAGAAATCCATGGTCAGACGGTCCCGAGTACATCACGCAGTGCCCAATCCAACCTGGCGCGAAGTTCAGCCAGAAAGTCATATTCTCGACCGAGGAAGGCACTCTGTGGTGGCACGCACACAGCGAATGGACTCGAGCCACCGTCTATGGTGCAATCGTCATCTACCCTAAGAAAGGAGACACTTACCCCTTCCCCAAGCCTCATGCTGACGTCCCAATTATTTTTGGAGAGTGGTGGAAGCAAGATATATTCCAACTCTACGAAAATCTCCTTCAATCTGGAGGAGACCCTAATGCCTCCGATGCAATCACTATTAACGGTCAACCTGGTGATCGATTCAATTGCTCTGCTCATGGTACGTACAAAAGGTCGAAATTTTCGACCACATAGTGAAAAATTCAATGGATGTGTAATCAATCCACTATAGAGATGGTTGACTCTTACTTATTTTTTTAATTTTCATCAGATATGTTCAAGTTGGTAGTGAAACAAGGCAAGACATACCTCCTCCGCCTCATCAACGCCGCCATGCAAGACATCCTCTTCTTCTCCGTCGCCAACCACAACCTCACGGTGGTCGGAACCGATGGAACTTACGTCAAGCCCTTTGAATCCGACTACATCACCATCTCCCCCGGCCAAACCATCGACGTCCTCCTCCACGCCAACCAGCCCAACAACAACTACTACATGGCCACCAAATTCTACACTAGCGCACGCGGCGCCGTCAACGCCAACACCTCCACCGCCCTCCTCCACTATTCCGCCGCCGACAACACCACCACGAACCTCTCCCTCCCATCCCTCCCGGCCACCAACGACACCACCGCCTCGGTCAATTTCACCGCCAGGCTACGTAGCTTGGCGGACAAGAAACACCCGGTCAACGTGCCCAAAAACCCTACCACTAACTTGTACTTCACGATATCCATGAACACCCTCCCTTGCCCCGCTGGACGGTCCTGTGTGGGACCCAACGGGTCCCGCCTCGCTTCCAGCATCAACAACGTAAGCTTCGTGGCCAACACGTCGCTGGACGTGTTGGCCGCGTACTACAACATGATCGAGGGAGCGTACGGGGACGACTTCCCCAGGAAGCCTCCGGTGACGTACAACTTCACCGGGACGAATATCCCGGCGGAGTACCGGGTCCCCGCCACTGGGAACGAGGTCGTGGTGCTCGAGTATAACTCGTCTGTGGAACTTGTGTTCCAAGGCACCAGTTTGCTCGGTGGGGTCGACCACCCCATGCACCTTCACGGCACGAATTTCTACGTTGTGGGGTGGGGTTTCGGTAATTTCGATAAGGTCAATGATCCCAAGAGTTACAATCTTGTTGATCCACCGTTTCAGAACACCATTGCTGTTCCGATAAACGGGTGGGTCGCTGTCAGGTTTAGAGCCAAAAACCCTGGTAAGCATATATCATTTTTTTTACGTATCTATTTTAACAACTCGAGTTATCTTTGTTGATGGGTTGATTATATGGATTCGAATTAATGTAGGAGTTTGGTTCATGCACTGCCATCTGGAGCGACATGCATTGTGGGGAATGGATATGACGTTTATAGTGAAGAACGGAAGAGGGGAAAACGCCACGATGCTGCCGCCGCCGCCGGACATGCCTCCCTGCTGAAATCAATTTATCATCAATGGAGTGATAATTAAATAGAGGAATTAATTTGTGAAAAATGTATCTCAATTAATAAAAATGGTTGGAAGATAATACTGATAATTAATCAATATAATAGAATTCATTAGCTAATAAAACCAAGATGAATCGAATTTGTTAATCACTTTGTTGTTCTCGTCATTAGCGATTTGGATTTTTCTTTTGCTTTTGGTGAGATGTGGATTTTTATTTTTTGTAACAAACGATTCGTACTGTTTCATATATCTTAAATTTGAAAGTTGTTTTGTATTTTTTCCCTCAAAAATTTTGTGATTTAGACATTATTTATACATACAAAATAATTCAGCTCATCATGAATATATTAATTACTAAGTATATCATGGATGACTCAGTTGTCGCATATACTTAAGAATCAAGATTGTGTTCTGCGATTTCTAATTACAACTTGCACTTCTCATCTTGTAATTTTCACAATGTAATAAATTACTATTATCGATAGTAAATACCCTGATAATTAATATATGAAATTGTTTTGTTGCAGTTTTGAATTGTGTGAGAGCTGCAGATTCTACAATTACATAAGAAAATTACAAAGTGCTGCCTATTTTTCATTATTTGTTTCTAATTATGCCATTTGTTAGACTTTGATGCTCCTCTAATTTCAGTAATGACAAGTTACCTACTAAGATTTAGTCGTTGGAGCCAAATTACACTAGGAATTCGCTACAAAAAAACGAGGAGAAACCCACCAAAACGATGTCACAAAGAAGAACAAGAGGAACTAAAATGATTGACTAGAACAAAGCTAATTATAATTAATCACGTACAACACCCTAAAGTCTACTCTAATTTTTTTTATCACGCATAGTTAATTTGTCTATATACACCACACGATCGAATTCCACCCATATGTCTATTTAGCTGAATTTCCATTTAAAATTATTTAATTTCTACGATACGTTATTGCATATCCACAAATCATAATCGTCGATTGTTGTTTTTAATTAATTAATAAATCTTCAAGTTTGAGTTTGAAGAATTAGTATCCAAAGTTCACCCATTAAAAATTAAGAAATAGTACCACACCTTAAACCCGAATTAATTCGCGATGTAAGTAGCATCACCCCACTAGGGATCGCGGACTACTGCATAATGCAGATCGTTAGAACTAGGGAATTGATAAAGGTCGTCCTTAAAATTACTATTGATCGTCCTAAAAAATAACAAAGTTACACTTTTAACCTTTTGGCATTTTTAGCAAACAAACATCACTTTAACTAAAAAAAATGAAAAACACTCAATTTCCCACACTCTCGAATTCATTGTTGACATTCTTGAGTCGTAATCGTTGAGAATACGTCCGAATCATGAGTAACAACTCCGACGAGGTAAAAATCTGATTTAAAAAAAAAAAAAATCCAAAACCCCTCAACTGAAGCCAATTTTCGGTTGTACCATGGCTCAACCTAAGGCAATTTTTCGGTTGTACCATGGACCAACCGAAAATTGGCTTCGGTTGAGCCATGGTGCAACCGAAGGTGATTTTCGGTTGAGCCATGGTGCAACCGAAGGTGCTTTTCGGTTGGTCCATGGTACAACCGAAAATTGCCTTAGGTTGAGCCATGGTACAACCGAAAATTGGCTTCGGTTGAGGGGTTTTGGGTTTTTTGGATTTGTTTGGTTTATATCAATAATTTTCTATTCTTTTACTACGATTTATGATTCGGTCCATAAGATAATTGGTTGAATTTAGGTTTATATATTTTTTTAGATTTATGGAAGGGGAGGAGTTGTTTGTTTTGTGTTTGATTTTGAAATTCAAAATGGGCAATTTGATAAATTACATATTAAGTTAGGACGATGGTTAGTAATTTTTAGGACGACCTTTAACCATTCAGTAGAACTAATGCACGTAATATAGAACAAAGGTTTAAGTACCATCGACCGCAGTGCCGCCTCCCTAGATTCCAAATGGCACGAACAACAAAAACTTGTTCTGTTTTGGAACATTCGCCAAGAATATCGTTTCCTTCGCCTGACTGCCTGCTGTTTAATTTCGTGGCCGTCTGCCGGAGGCACATATGGTTGCCGTCGCCAGAGAGAATTTGGCAGACCTGCCAGACTGCATATGCTAATTAATCAACAATTATTCATTAGTATAAGTAGTGAGCACTTATCCCTTGAGCTTAATTCATCCAAGTTTCGCAGATTAATTAGTAAGCAATTTACTAATTAACCATGAAAACAATGAGCAACAATGCCATCTCCGGGTTGATTTTTTTGCTCTTGAGCTTCTCCATCCATGGCGGCGCGGCGGGGGCTTCATCGATTCGACGCCACACTTTTGTGGTAATGTGTCTCCAATTTTTGATTTCCTTTGATAACCCGACAAGAAACTAGCTTTATTTTTTAACGACCATCTTTTTCACTTTTGGCAACCGTTACTTATGGTCGCGAAAAATCACTTCGTGGTGATTAATTTGGATTTCTTTGTTGTAGATAAAAGAAGCTTCCTACACGAGGCTGTGCAGTGAAAATAAGATAATGACGGTGAATGGGGAATTCCCGGGGCCAACTCTGTATGTTTACAAGGGAGACACAATCATTGTGGATGTCATTAACCATAGCCCACATAACATAACCCTCCATTGGTAACTACCTTCAAAAGACTCGAACTTGTTCATCACAACGAACTCGATCCCGTTGAGTCAATTTTGAATAATGATTGGATTGGTATTGGTCTTTTGTACAGGCATGGAGTAGCTCAACTGAGAAATCCATGGTCAGATGGTCCCGAGTACATCACCCAGTGCCCGATCCAGTCAGGAAGGAAGTTCAGCCAGCGAGTCGAGTTCACCTTCGAGGAAGGTACGTTGTGGTGGCATGCTCACAGCGAGTGGACTCGAGCCACCGTCCATGGAGCTATTGTCGTGTACCCCAAGAAAGGGTCCACTTACCCCTTCCCCAAGCCCCATGCTGAAGTCCCGATCATTTTTGGTAAGAATCTAATCGCATTTAGAACCCTCAAACACTCATGGTTCTTAATGGTGCACTTTTTCAAAGTGAAGTGGCGTGTATCATTTTTTGCAGGAGAGTGGTGGAAGAATGGTGTGTTTGAGACCTACAAAGAGTTTCTTGGATCCGGGGGTGACCCAAATGCTTCCGATGCCATCACCATTAACGGTCAACCTGGAAATTTGTTCCCATGCTCAAAATCAGGTACATGCTTATTAGGGTTTAATTTGTATAGTCTCAGCTCTCAAAATTTCACCACTTTGAGATTACCTTTTTATGGGTAATAATAACTGTAGGCAACTTCTTCACTAGTTCAAAGTTGAGGGCTTGTTTGGTATATAATTGTCCTTATTGCAACTTCTTTCACTAGGCCTAAGTCAAGGGTTTTGTTTGATATATCTTGTCCTTATTGCACCTTCTTCACTATGTGAGTAATTAAGAGCTCTTGTTTGTTATCTATTGTCCTTATTGCAGACACATTCAGACTGAACGTAGTTCGCGGAAAGACATACCTCCTTCGATTAGTGAACGCGGCCCTTCAAGACATGCTATTTTTTGCCATCGTCGACCATCGACTCACGGTGGTTGGGACCGACGGGAGCTACACGAAGCCATTCAAATCCAATTACATAACCATCTCTCCCGGTCAAACCATCGACGTCTTGCTAGAAACGAAACCTTCGCAACAGTACTACTCCTCCTCATCACCAATGAAACAATATTACATGGCTGCTCGAGTGTACTCTAGCAACCCAGGGGCGGTATTCGACAACACAACTGCGACGGCCATTCTCCACTACAATGATCACCAAGACCCTCAATCCTCAAAGGCTCAGGTACATAAGTACATTGTCCCCAAAAAAAAAAATTGACCTACTATAATAAGTAGTGTGAACTCCAAGTGTAAACTATTTTCACAGTGTAATTGACATTCATTCACAAAGAGTATTCACATCATTCAAAGAGAGATCTAAAAGATTGGATTTTACATCGTTCTTCACAGCCAACACTCAGACTACCACGCCTCCCAAGTGTGAACGACACAAGCGCATCGGTCGCCTTCACCGGCCGGCTCAGAAGTCTGTCCACCTCCTCCGACGCCGAACCTGCCCCAAAAGACGTGACAACAAAACTATTCCTCTCACTCTCCATCAACCTCCAGCCCTGCCCGAACAATTACTCCTGCCCGGGCGGCCCCTTTAACGGCACCGTTCGGATCGCCGCGAGCATCAACAACGTGAGCTTCGTGGAACCGAGGTCCATCGACATCCTGAGTGCATACTACAACCACATCAACGGTGTTTTCCGTACGGACTTCCCCCACAAACCCGCGCACCCCGCGGACTACACCGGCGACGATCCTTTCGAGGGAGCCGCGACGACGCACGGGACGAGGGTGAAGGTCTTGGGGCACAACTCCACGGTGGAGGTGGTTTTCCAAGGGACGAATTTAGCCCTGGGGAGTGACCATCCGATGCATCTACACGGGATGAGCTTCTACGTGGTGGGATGGGGTTTCGGTAATTTCAACGAGAGGAGAGATCCCAAAGGTTACAATCTAGTCGACCCGCCCTTTGTGAACACTGTGGCTGTCCCGAGGAATGGATGGACTGCCATTAGGTTCAGAGCTTCCAATCCCGGTAAGTGTTAACACGACGCATCTTTGAATAATTCGAGTTATTAGAACATGTTAATGCGAAGCATGTTTCATCATCAACAACTTGACTTATTGGAATGAGCTAATTTATCGTGATTTTTCTTTTTTTCTTTTCTTGCAGGAGTGTGGTTAATGCACTGCCATCTGGAGAGGCATCAAACTTGGGGAATGCGGATGGTGTTCATCGTGAAGAATGGGAAAGGCAGAAAAGCCCAAATGCTTCCTCCACCTCCTGATATGCCACCTTGTTGATATAAATTCTTTTAATTATTATTACTAGCTTTGTTTCTGGTCAATACCCTAATAAATTTTTATCATTATTCTATGAAATAAATATCATTATCAATCATTTTATATTATAATTAATTGTTGGATTAGTTTTTGTTTGGCAATTTTTCGCATTGATGTAATTTATTTATAATCAAATTTGTGATGACAAATGATAGTTTGATCCATCGGTGTATTATGATTGATTTTCGTCAAATTTATTATGAAAAAACGATCTAAATTAATAGAGGGGCTCATATGAATATTAGACATTGTATAGGGGGATTGAAGTTCAGCATTATCCCAATAGAAATAATCAAAGAATAAAAGGAAAATAATCACAATGTGAAAGAACTTGGGGGACAAGTTGACCTTAATGTGTACTTAAGTAGATGATTAAGCATTATAATATGAATTACTTAGGCCAATGTTCATGGATCAAGTATCAAAAGGAGCTAATATGTTCTAAATGGTGAATGGAGAAAGTGGAGATCGAGGAGATATTTTGCTTCACTATCAAGTATCAACCTATGCATCCGATCTCTCCCAAAGATATTGATAAGATTCTTATTGACTTGACCAACATGGCCAGCAATAAAGTCAATTTTTTTATAGATATTACACTGAGTCGATACATAAATGGTCACTAAAATTTGGGACAATTATAGCAAATTGGTGAAGGAATTTCGATATTTAACAAGCTAGCCACTAAAGTTTATACTGGTCTGCTGGGGTTAACCGCTTTAGGTCGAGTGAATTTAAAATGAGTCATCCGCGTCATTTATAATGGCTTATTCATTAGTGACACCACAATCCAATGACTATTTATAAATTCGACTATTATATTGGTCAAATGGAGTTAACCATTTAGTCTAAAGCAAGTAGATATGAAATGGATCTCCATGCCATCTATAGTGATCAAATCATTAGTAATCCCAAAATTCAATAACCAATTAACCATTTCTACTATTGATCAATCATATTATATGTTAATACAAAAAATTGAAGCTTCCTCAAGTCAAGTCAACTAGATAGAGTAGATATAGACAAGTACCATTCCAATGGCTTCCATTTTCATGCATCCACCCTAACTTCAAGGCATGTGCCCATTAAAAGGGCTTCAAGCCTGTGAAAATCCCTGCCTTAAAAAACATCTCCCCTTCAAAGATCATCATAACCCCAATTCAAACCCAACCCAAAACCTCAAACTTACCCAAACTCTACCCATCATGAAGACCCTCATTCTCTTCTTCTCAATACTCACCCTCCAATTGCTCCGCGCCACGTCGGATGGGTGCCATCCGGACGACGAGAAGGGTCTCATGAGCTTCAAAGCTGGCATCACCCACGATCCGTCTGGCATGCTCTCCCTGTGGAAACCTGGCACCGATTGTTGCCAGTGGCGCACCACGACCTGCCTCGCCAGCGGTCGTGTCAACTCGATCTGGCTCACGGGAAGCCCTGACCAGCCCAACTCCTACTTAGCCGGTACTATTTCTCCATCTCTCGCGAAGCTTGAGTTCCTCAACGGACTCTACATGATGAACCTGAGAAACATCACGGGCGGGTTCCCCACCTGGTTGTACGGAATGCACAACCTGATGTACTTATATTTACAAAACGTGCCACTGACCGGTCGACTCCCCCGAGACATTGGCCGGTTCGGAGGCCGGCTAAACGCCCTGAACCTGGCAGGAAACCGGTTCACCGGAGCGATACCCAGTTCCATATCCAATCTAACCAGCCTGTCCGAGCTAAACCTCGCCGGCAACTTCCTCACCGGGAAATTCCCGCTCGGCATCCGCAACCTCACGAACTTGGAAACCTTGGATCTCCAGAACAACCAGCTCGCTCGATCCATCCCTGAGATCTTCTCTTCTCTCACCCGTCTCAGGTACCTCCGACTCTCCGGCAACAATTTTACCGGGAAAATCCCAAACTCAATCTCATCCCTTTCCCCAAACTTAGAATACCTCGAGCTCGCCCGCAATTCCCTCACCAGCCAAATCCCTAGCTTCCTCGGAAGCTTCCACTCGCTCGACACCATGAATCTCGCCTGGAACAATCTCACCGGACCCGTACCGAAATCGTTCAAGAATCTCACGAAGATCTTCAATTTGGATCTCTCCCACAATTCCCTCGTCGATCCTTTCCCTGTTATGAACGTGATGGGGATCGAGACCCTAGATCTGTCGTACAACAAATTCCACCTGGGGAGAATCCCCGATTGGGCGAGTTCTTCCCCGATTCTCTACTCCCTGAAGCTGGCTAAGTGCGGGATCAAGATGAATTTGACGAATTGGAGGCCACAGCAGACGTATTTCTACGATTATCTTGACTTATCGGAGAATGAGATCTGGGGGAGTCCGGTTTGGTTGCTAAACCAGACCGATTATTTGGTTGGGTTTTGGGCGTCGGGGAATAAGCTGAGCTTCGATTTGAGGCAGATGAGGATTGTGGGGACGATGAAGGATTTGGATCTGTCGAGGAATTCAATTTACGGCGGGGTGCCGAGTTCGGTTGCCGGATTGCGGAATTTGAATGTGAGCTGGAATCATTTGTGTGGAAGGTTGCCGCCGACGAAGTTTCCGGCGAGCTCGTTTGAAGGGAATAAGTGTCTTTGTGGCTCCCCTTTGCAGCCTTGTAAATAAACATAATTTAAAAAATGGAGATAAAATAAATGGGATACAGGGGATTCAACGATTGATGTTCTATCTTTGCGAAATTTCTTCAAGAATAAAATTCAATCCATGTTGTTGTCATATTAGATTTGAATCGATTAACTTACTAAAATGTCCGTACATGGATATCATCACTTCATCTCATCAGCTTGTAACTATGTATCGTATAAGCTCGATTAGATTAGTTAAATCACGTTGCAAGCAATAAATTGACAGTGAAATACCTGATTTTCGTATTAAAAGATAAAAATGAGGTTGTATTTATTCAATGGTGCAAAGGTTCTAATAACAAGCTCCTAGGATGCTTGAGTACATTGGTAATCCATCCATTTCAACAATAATGATGACGAAAATTTTAAGATGCTTGATAAGCAAAGCATACAATTATTTTGATCAACTCAACTAAGATCACTATTTGCAAGCAGGCAAAGGCGATCCACAGAGACACTTGTTCCCCACAAACGAGCTCGCCGGGAACTTGGTCGGCGGCAGCTTCCCACACAAACTGTTCCGGCTCAAATCCAACTTCTCCAGCCCGGAAACTGAGCTGGGCACTCCCCCGAAAACCAAATTCCTCGACAGATCCAAATCCTTCATCGTCCCAGCAAATTTCAGCTTCCCCAAATCGAAGCTCAATCTGTTTCCGGCGGCCCGAAAACCCACCAGATAATCCGTCCGGTTCAGCAACGGAATCGCGCTGCCGGAGATCTGATTCTCCGACAAGTCGATGTAGTCGTAGAAATACGTCTCCTTCGGCTTCCAAGTAGTCAGATCGATCTTGATCCCGCATTTCGCCAGCTTCAGGGAGTAGATGATCGGAGACAGAGTGACCCAATTGGGGATTTTGCCCAGATGGAAATTGTTGTACGATAGATCCAGCGATTCGATGCCTTTCACGTTCATCACGGGGAAGGGATCGACGAGGGAATTGTGGGAAAGGTCTAAATTGAAGATCTTTGTGAGGTTCGAGAAAGTTTTCGGGACTGTCCCGGTGAAATTGTTGTGGGAAAGATCCAGAGTATCGAGCGTCTGGAAATTGCCGAGGAAGCTGGGGATTTGGCCGGCGAGGGAATTGTGGCCGAGCTCGAGGTAAGCTAAGGTCGAGGAAAGGGACGAGATTGAGCTGGGGATTTTCCCGGAAAATTTGTTGTGGGAAAGGTTGAGAAACCTGAGCTGATGGAAAGACGAGAAAATCTCAGGGATGGGCTGGGAGAGCCGGTTGTTATCAAGTTCTAACAGGGTCAGGTTTCTGAGGCTGCGAATGCCGGCGGGGAGTTTCCCGGTGATCAAGTTCCCGGCTAGGTTCAACCGGGTCAGACCGGTCAATTGGGATACGGATTCAGGTATCGACCCAGTGAACCGGTTCCCTTCCAGACTCAACACGTCGAGTTGGGTCCCCAACTTGCCTATGTCAACCGGTAGTGGACCCGAGAGCCGGTTGTTCTCCAGGTAGACAAACAAGAGACTGGGCAACCCGTACAACCAAACCGGAAACTTACCCGTGATGTTCCTCAGGTTCATCAGGTAGAGCCCGTCGAGGTCCCTCAGCTTCGCGAGGGACGGCGAGATGGTGCCCGACAGGAATCCATCAGGTTTGTCGGGCTGACCGCTCAGCCACAGGGAGGTGACCCGATCGTTGGACAGACAGGTCACGCCGAACCACGAGCAGCAGTCGGTTCCATTCCACGAGTCGAGCATGCCCGACGGATCGTACGTGATGCCGGATTTAAACGCCAGGAGCCCCGCCATGTCGTCCACGTGGCAGACGCGCGATGTGGCTCTAATGCATTGCAAGGCCAGCAAGGTGAGGAAGATGATGAGTGACTTCATGATGATTTGGGATGATATTATGGGAGAGGTTGATGGTTTTTCTGGGATAAGGGTTGTGGACAGTTTGGAGGGTTTTATAGGGCAATTGGGTTGCCAAAGTTTTGCCCTTTTGGTGGGTTTCTGAGTCAACACGGGAGCTTTGTTAAGGTCTCTGTTTTTGCCTCTTTGGGGCACACATGAAAATCTATGGTGGATGGCTTGACTGATGCAAATTGCAAAGGGGATGGCAGCCCATCAGAAGGGAATTTAATGGTGTTATCATTGCTGGCTTCTTCTGGTAGGGCATGTGGTCAAGTCAAGGTTGATGGCTAATTGGGATAAAGGCTTTAATGGAAATAAAAATGAATATAGTGCCAATATCCTAAGGAGATAGAGATGGGATTTTGAGCAAATTGAACGCTTGTGTTCACTACAATCAACCAAATGCATGGATGATGGTTCATGTCGATCAGTTCTAAGGGTTTGTTTGAAAGTTGAGATTCTTCACATATGTGTATGTGATGAATATATGTATTATAAATACAAAGATTGGAAGAATGTCTTGTTTTGTTTGTATTCATTCAAAATTTATAAAGAAAAGAAAAAATCACTTCATGAACTAAAAGTGGAACAAATTAAAGCTCACTATCTCAAAGGAAGAATCTCACATTTTTGTTGAGATTTAAAATAAGTGATTGTAGATGATATGAGATTTGAGGGTCCACCTCAAATGCATGTATTGAATAAAGTTTTGGAACAAAAAACGATGGATTCGTTAGAATACATGAATTCAAAGAATCTCACATCTCAAAGGAAGAATCTCACATTTTTGTTGAGATTTAAAATAAGTGATTGTAGATGATATGAGATTTGAGGGTCCACCTCAAATGCATGTATTGAATAAAGTTTTGGAACAAAAAACGATGGATTCGTTAGAATACATGAATTCAAAGAATCATTCATCTAGAATCATAACTTCTAAACGACCCCTAAATTAAATAATTGTATAGTGATATTCACGCTCCTGCAGCGGAATTAAAGACGAATGAAGGCGAATGGGACCTGGACCAGGTTGAGATTATGGTACTATTAAAGTAGTTGAGTTCATATTTCATAGTGATGGAGTGAGAAATGTGAATGATGAAGCTGATTTTAATGTGGTGATTGGGAAAGAATTAAGGTTTTACCAATTATTCTATTTTCTAAATTTGTTACAAATATTAAAGGTAATTTACTTATATTTCAAAAAGCTGAGAGTAGGGATGGCAAAAATATCTGTAACCGTGGATATTCTTCCGAATTCGACCTAATCGGATGGGGTAAAACCCGAACTCGAAGGACTTTTAGTGGGTATGAGTAAAACTCGAATCCGAATATTGCGGGTAATGGGTGGACATGGTTTTCTCACTATGCAACCCGAACCGACCCGATTATACACATGCATGTGTATTTTGTCTAGAAATAATCATTATTTTTCTCTAACATATTTTATATTTAGCATATAAATACAATATTTTCATGAAATTGTGTTGTTTTAATTAATTTTCTTCATTATAGTGTATTATTGTCGTACTTTTCCTCTTGTGTAATGTGAGAATACGCGTAAATAACATATTGATTGAAGGTATGTAGAGAAATGATTACCCATGGATAGTCGTGGATACCTGAAACCCGAACGGGTATGGGCATGATTTTGATTTTCTATCCATTTCTTATGTGGGTATGGATATGGGTAAAATCAGAACTACTTTGAGTACGGTAACGGATATGCACTATCCGCCCCAACCCGACCATTTGCCATCCTAGCTGAGAGTTGATTTTTTTGGCGGGTAATGTTTTATACTTATAATTGTGGGGAGTTGGGGGGAGGTTTGAAAGGCAATGTATGTGGGTTCCTGAGACAATACAAAGGACCTAGTGACCTAGTGGTTTCCTTGATGCAAGGATATATAGGATGTTGGACTTGGTTTGGAAGCTAGAAGAAGTAATCCGAATCCTTTGCGGAGAAGGATTGAAGCGGCTCGATTATGAAGGCTGAAGTTTAGTGAAACTGCAGCGTTTGGTTATTTATGCTTTGGTCCCTGTTTTATTTAGTTATGTCAATTTGGTCAGTATCCGTTGTGATCAACAGATCGAGCAAACAGAGTGCTGATCTTTAGCTGTTGCTTGGTTTAGTGGTTGCTGATTGTTAGGAGAGTAGTTTGGGTAGTTGTTTCCTGGCCGATTCCTATGGCTGAACTTCATGTATTTATTCTCTCTTCATTTCAATAAACAAATTTTCAGATTGCAACCAGATTTAGGCTTTCATTGTGGTATCAGAGCCGATCTGCAAGCTGTAACCAGAGAGTGAGTGAAATCTGCCAACGATTGCAGAGTGGGTATTTGGGAAACACGAGAGATTAACTTGAGGAGTCAAGAAAGAAATTTGGGTGTGAGAAACATGAGTGAAGGAAGCTGTTGATGTGACTTGAATCGGACTATCAGCCGCAACGCCCCCGGCCCACGGTGTATGGGCTCAATGTTATTTGGGTTCGGGTTCTGGGCCTGGTCTGTAACCGTTTCCTTTGCTAGGTTGGATTAGGTTTAGACCCACATGGAGAAGTACTATAAATACTTCTCATACTCCTCTGTAATCTGTAATCTCCTCAGATATAGTGAAACTGGCTCTCTCTCGCCCGTGGACTAGCTAACACACATCGTGTTAGTGAACCACGTAAATCGTGTGTCTGTGTTCTTTCGATTCTCGCTTTCGTATTCTTGCTTTGTCGATTCCGGCGATTTCCCGATCCGTAGCAACGCGTTTATAACAAGTAGTATCAGAGACGCGGTTGGAAATCAGGCTAGGGTTTTCGATTCAGAAGAATGACGTCGGTGAACATGAAGATCGAAAAGTTCACGGGGAAGAACAGCTTCGCTATATGGCAGATCAAGATGCAGGCTTTATTGAAACAGCAAGGGCTGTGGGGGCCGCTGTCTGCGAAACAGAAGAAGGCAGCGGTCGATGACGATGAGTGGAATACCCTGGAGGAGAAGGCCCACTCGACCATCATGCTATCGTTGTCTGATGACGTCATCATTGAAGTCGCTGCTGAGAAGACTGCCGCGGGCTTGTGGTTGAAACTGGAGAGTCTGTATATGACGAAGTCTCTAACCAACAAGCTGCATCTCAAGCAACGGTTGTTCAGCTTGAGGATGCAAGAAGGTACGCCTTTGAGGGAACATCTCGAACAGCTTAACTCTATTTTGCTAGATCTGCGTAATATAGATGTTCAAGTTGATGACGAGGATGCTGCCCTAATCCTGCTGGTTTCTTTGCCGAGTTCATATGAGAATTTTGTTGATTCTTTTATTGCTGGTAAAGAAAGCGTGTCGTTGGAGGATGTCAGGTCTGCTCTTCATACGAGAGAGATCAGGCATAAGGCGTCCGGATCTGGTACAGGTGGTGAGGCATCGGGTTTGGCTGTTACAGGTGGAAAGGGAAAGAAGAAATCTGGTAAAGGGAATTCGAGCAAGAATTCCAAGGGTCCCGGTCCACAGCCAGGTGATGCTTGTCACAACTGTAAGGAAGTGGGGCATTGGAAGTACAACTGTCCCAAGAGAAGAGGGCAACAGAAGAAACAAGGTTCAGTTGCCGTAGCAGAAGTGGACAATAGTTCTGAAGACGATCTCGCCTTGGCTGTAGATGAGAAGGCACATCGTGGTGATGTGTGGTTTCTGGATACTGCAGCCTCATACCATATGTCTCCGAACAGGGATTGCTTCACAACCTACGAGCAGATAGATGGTGGTAACGTGGTCATGGCAAATGGAGCTGTCTGCAAGGTTGTTGGAATCGGGTCCATAAAGGTTCGGACACATGATGGTTCGTTCTGTACCGTGAATGATGTCAGGCATGTTCCACGAATGACAAAGAACCTGATCTCCTTGAGTCTACTCGACAGCAAGGGCTTCAGCTTCAAAGGAAAAGGTGGAGTTGTGTATGTCTGCAAGGGTTCGAGGAAGGTACTGAAGGGCGTGAAGCGTGGGACCTTGTATGCATTACAAGGGTCTGTGTTGTCTGGTTCTGCTGCAGTTGCATCGTCTCAGGTTCAACAGGAAGATTTGACCACTCTCTGGCACATGAGATTGGGGCATATGAGTGAACGGGGGATGCAAGTTCTATCGAAGAGGGATCTTCTTTGCGGGCACAAGGTGCAGAATTTGGAATTCTGTGAGCATTGTGTGTTTGGGAAGCTACATCGCAACAAGTTTCTCAAGAAGGGTATCCACCGGATAAAGGGGATACTGGATTACCTCCACTCCGACTATTGGGGTCCTTCACGAGTTGAATCCATTGGAGGCAGCAGGTATTTTCTGTCTATTATTGATGATTATTCGAGATTTACTTGGATTTTCATGATGAAGCAGAAAAGTGAGGCTTTCACGAAGTTCAAGCAGTGGAAGACATTAGTGGAGAATCAGACCGGGAAGAAGATCAAGAAGCTGCGAACGGACAATGGTCTGGAGTTCTGCAGTTCTGAGTTCAACGAATTCTGCAAGGATGAAGGGATTGCCCGTCATCTGACTGTTAGAGATACACCCCAGCAGAATGGCGTTGCAGAAAGGATGAACCAGACATTGTTAGAGAGAGCACGGTGCATGCTCTCTAATGCTGGACTAGAGAGAAGATTCTGGGCAGAAGCAGTAAACATGGCGTGCTTCCTGATCAACTGTGGACCTCACACAGGTATCGAGTGTAAGACTCCTTATGAAGTGTGGTATGGTAAGCCTGCTGATTACTCTTCACTGAAAGTGTTTGGGTGTCCTGTTTATTATCACGTGGATGAGGGTAAACTGAACCCAAGGGCAAAGAAGGGTGTATTTGTGGGTTACGGAGATGGAGTTAAGGGATTTCGAGTCTGGTCACCTTCTGAGCATCGAGTTATACTTAGTAGAAATGTGATATTTGATGAGAAGTCTATGTTTAACCCCATGTTGAAGGTTACTGTTGTTGAAGGTAGCAGGAATGTTGATAAACAGGT